AAACTAGGTAATAGTACAGACTGCCTTTTGTGATTAATCCCGTAATCATCTTGTGCCTGAACCGACAAAAGCAGGGGTCAAGTGCTTTGCCCGCAAAATCCCTGAAGCATCATAAAAAGAGAATAAAATGGCCAAAATCTGAGGCCTATTTGTGGTCTCGGAATGGAATTCCCGCCAAACGGACATGTCTGTCAGTGATAATGCCGCTTCTAAGAAAGGCGAAAACCCCCTCAAAACCACTGTGGGAAAAAAGGGGGAAATTCCTTTCTGGCTCCGCTAAAAATGGCAACCGAGTACTTCAAATTCAAGATTACTGCGTCAAACACTCTAGAATCGGCAAAATCACGCAAACATAATCAAGCAATCCGAAAAAACAAAATTGACCAAGGCAATGTTTAAGCGGAATATGTGCAAAAAGGTGGCTACGAACGGGGAGGAGGAGGGATTTTTTCAGCAAGACAAAACTTCCTTGCAAGACCTAACCGCGCGGCTGCTCAAGCAAAAGTGACCGTGTGCTCGAACTTTCAGTTACCAGTTCATTAAAAGTGAACTAGTTCATGCACTTAAATCATTGTGGCCACAAGGGGAGTGACCTGGAATGGCCAACCTTCCAACCAGCCCTGTCAACGGTCCAGCGGTGATAAATTATTTGAAGCTTCAATTCCATTTGCCTCAAATCGATTATCCCCGCATGCTACCAAAGACACAAGCGACCGGAATCAGAGGCTGCACACTCAGCATTCTTTGTTACCTGTGGCCTGAGCAGCCGTTTATTCAATATGCCAAACATCATGTTCCCGCCCGAAGCTGATAGCGCAGAACTGCAAATATATTTGGCAATAACGTAAAAGGTTGTTCCCGCCCGAAGCTGATAGCGCAGAACTGCAATTACATGTATACATAGCAACAATACCACAGATTGTTCAGCATTAATCTCACAGATTGTTCCCGCCCGAAGCGGATAGCGCAGAACAGCAATTACATGTATACATAGCAACAATACCACAGATTGTTCAGCATTATTCTCACAGATTGTTCCCGCCCGAAGCTGATAGCGCGGAACAGCAATTACATGTATACATAGCAACAATACCACAGATTGTTCAGCATTATTCTCACAGATTGTTCCCGCCCAAAGCTGATAGCGTGGAACAGCAATTACATGTATACATAGCAACAATACCACAGATTGTTCAGCATTATTCTCACAGATTGTTCCCGCCCGAAGCTGATAGCGCGGAACTGCAATTATACTTAGCAAGTATAGTTAAAACAATCTTGTCAAAGTCTGCTCCCCTCCAAAGCTTGATAGCAAAACCGCAATTATAAGCAATACAGTATTGATACTGTTAATTCCGGTCCGAACTGGTGACGCGGAACTGCAATTGCCATGAGCAAGATAATTAAGATGCAAAACCAGAATCAGTAATAGTACACAATGCAACCGTCATTAGCTGAGTACACAAATACCACGAGCATATAATAAGAAACAATTAATAATCCATTAAACCACATCAGAATGGCCAACTATTAAAAGCAATATCTTAAAACCAAAAGCAATAATTGTGTGGCCGTGTTTCGGCATAAGCTTGTTTGCGATATGCTCAAATAATGATATATAAACTTCAAGTGTAACTGATGTATAAATCAATCAACAAACTAGGTAATAGTACAGACTGCCTTTTGTGATTAATCCCGTAATCATCTTGTGCCTGAACCGACAAAAGCAGGGGTCAAGTGCTTTGCCCGCAAAATCCCTGAAGCATCATAAAAAGAGAATAAAATGGCCAAAATCTGAGGCCTATTTGTGGTCTCGGAATGGAATTCCCGCCAAACGGACATGCTGCGGAGGAGGTCCGCAACATGACCGCCGCCAAATAGCCTCAGGTAGTAACGGCGAGAAAAAACATGCTTAGCAATAGACCGAAATCATGTTGTAGAAGTTGCCCAAAATGATTGAGCAGCCTTCATCAGTCGGATGAACGTCATCGGACTGATATAACTCTGATGCCCACCATTGAAATTGAGGGTGGCAAATGACCCCCCCCCCCCGGGAGCATTTCGGAACAAGCACTTCATGTACCTGTTCACCGAGCGTCTGGTGAGCTCGATAGCCGACTGTTTAAGGGCATTATCGTAAGTTAAATGGGGTAAAATTTCCGAAAAAAACATAATAGTTTGTGGCAGTATCTCCCGCGTTATGGAGAGACACTGCCTCGCCATGATGTTTAAGAGTTGCTTATGCACGAAGCCGATGTCGTTGGAGCCGACCTGTATAATGATAAAGTCAGGCAATGATGTAGCTCCATGCCATGTCTCCATCAAAAAATCAGCATACTGGTGCATCCGCAGGCCCCGACGTCCGATCCAATGGATGTGTGCCAACTGCTGCAAGCTCTCTCCCCAGGGGGATGACCGCGCCACCCGGGCAAACCAGTTGACAAAAGAATCTCCCACAATCCATAGAGTCGGCTTGACAGGAGGGGCATCTCATGGGCACGGAAATGAAAGGGGAAATTTGGAAAACCCATTAATACTGAGGGAAATAAATCTTAAGCTTACTTGAAAATACTGGGCGAAATGCGGATGTACCGACGGTAAGCCCCCGACTTCCATCGCCCCATAACCTTAATATTATCCTCTGCCACGCCTGCCATAGCCGCTGAGCCAATGCGAAAGGAATGCGAAGTAAACCTGTCATCGTGAAGCCCTACAAAATCAAGGGCACGACGAAGGACTGCTGAAAACTGGGAACGCGTGACCGGGCTCCCATCGAAATGAGACAAAAATGAAACATGTGGTAACGTGGAACAAGCAAGAAAAGACAAAGTCGCCTGAACAGGGCAAAACAAATCATCACGATTTTGTGATGCTGGGATGGACAACACAAAACCATGACCATGCTGGTCAGTTTTTGAATGACGCAGCACAAGTTCGACCCTTAAAGGGGCATCTTTCACATTGACATCGGAGCGACACAGCGGGGGAAGCGAATGGCGGGACTGGGCAGTTAACTCCCCAATGCGGAGGAAACCGTAAAATGCAAACAAAAAGGCCACTCGAAAAAGGCGAGCTTCAAACTGATTCGTGCAAATGGCCTGTAGGGCCGGCACAATGCGGCATAAAATATCAAAAGTGATGGGGCGTCGTCTGTCTCGGCGACTGTTTCGCCTACGGCAACCCTCCAACAATCGTTTCACAACAAAATGCTTCGTTAAATCAGGATAACTCAACAACTGTAAATGCGAGGAAATTCCAGATACGTATGACGCAATTGATGTAGGGGCATAACCAGATACCGACATAAATGCTATGAACTGAACAAGCTGTTGCAGGGAGGGACAACGCTCGACATCAAATCCATGGCTTGTACTAAATGAACGGAACAGATGCCAAGCCCTTTGATATAATAAGCTCGTGCGGGGGGCAAGGGCGTCTTGTAAAAGACCTTGCACTTCTAACTGAAGTAGTTCCACAGGTTGACGGGCAAGGGAGTCATATCGTGGTCGGCAGAGGGGGCGAGATGACGAAATCGTGTCATCTGAAAGCGAGAAAGAGCATCAGCGATGCCATTAGCAACACCTGGCACATGTCTAGACTTAAACTGAATATTAAACGTTAAACACTGCACAACGAATTGACGGACCAAGCACATGATCAACTGACACTTAGACGTTTGCCTATTAATGATACTAACCACAGCCTGATTATCGCACCAAAGTATCACCCGCTTGTTTCGCAAATGATCCGCCCATAATTGCAAAGCAACCACAATGGGGAACAACTCCATACAAGCGATAGAAAGTGACTTAGCCTTAACATGCTCTGGCCATAACCCTTGAAACCAACACCCATCAAAATAGGCCCCAAACCCAATTTCCGCAGAGGCATCAGTATACAAGTGCAACTGATCACTATTAAACCACACCGAGTCTGGGAAAATGACCGTTCCGTTAAAATGGGCCAAAAAATGCTGCCAAGCCTGCAAATCAGCTCGCGCACCCGCAGTAATGCGAATTCTGTGGTGGGCCTTGGACACACCCCTTGTCAAATCGTGTAAACGACGAAGAAAGGCCCTACCAGGCATTACAGCTTTACAGACAAAATTAAGCCTACCTAATAAAGACTGAAGCTCACGGAGAGTTAATTTCTTCATGCTGAGCGCACTAACAAGCTTACTCTGTAAAGTAACCAGCTTGTCGGGTGGAATTTCTATCCGTTGCGCAACCGTGTCAATTGCTAAACCCAAGAAATTAAGGTTGGTTGTAGGTCCCTCCGTTTTTTCTTCTGCGAGGGGGACGCCAAATCGCTCACAAACCACTCGGAAAGATTGGAGGGAACGCGCGCACTCGTTAGAGTTACAAGCACCCACAAACAAGAAATCGTCCAAATAATGCACAATATATTGAGAGTTAGCTACCTTACGAGTAGAGTACTCAAGGAAAGTACTAAACCGTTCAAAAGTGACACAAGAAATCGCACAACCCATTGGCATACATTTATCGTAATATATCTGGCCATTGTGAGAAAACCCTAGCAAATCAAAATCATCCGGATGAACAGGGAGTAAGCGAAAAGCTGATTTAATATCCGACTTAGCCATAAGTGCACCCGTACCCAAACTAGATATCATGGTTATTGCATCATCAAAACTCGTGTAATTAACAGCAGTGCTAGACGGGTCAATGAAGTCGTTCACTGAACTCCCTATTGGAGACGACAAATTATGAATCAACCGAAATTCCCCAGGGACTTGCTTTGGTACCAGACCCACTGGTGAACAACGTAAATTGGGAAGAGGCTCAGACAAAAACGGGCCGGCCACACGACCCAAGGCAATCTCACGATCGATTTTGTATTGTAAAATGCCTGGATGTTCACGGGCAGACTGAGAATTACGAGCCGTAGAACTAACCCTTGGTCCGGAATAACCTATTCGAAAACCACAGGAAAAACCTGCCATCAAAATCTGTGAATCTAGGGTGTTGGGATAAACACGCAAAAATGGGAGCATGCTATTTAGTTTTACCGGCGTTCGCGCTAACGGCCGGCCCGCGAGATGGTTGGTTCCTCCGACAACGGGTTGCCGAATGGCCGAATGCAAGGCAGGCTGAGCAACGGTGTGCGAAGCGGCATGTGGGGCGGATGCATTGCCCGCGATTGAAATCATGGCATGTGGGTTGGCCTCCGGTAACTTGCCGTCGGCCTGGTCCGAATGGGGACCCGAAACTGGCGTAGGGACGATCGCGCTGCTGGTAGGGACGAAAATTAGGCTGTTGTACTAGGGGCGCCCCGAGCAGTGTTAACCACAACTCGGCATCGATGCTTGCCCAAGAGCGGGACGGCAAACGCGCCTGTCGCAGGCGAAACTGAATATCATAATCGCGCCAACCAAAGCCAACATGTCGGAAAGCAGCAGAACGGATGGTATCCGCATATTTCAGCAATTGGCGAGCATGCGTAGGGTGTCGCAACAAATAAACCGAAGCAAAAACTAGAAAAGCAGATGTCCACTGCTCAATTGATGTTATACGGGGTGCCTGCTTATGAGGACGAATCTGCCAAGCCGGAGACTCATTGGAGCCGATCGTAAAATTCACAGCTTTAGCCAAAGAATCATCACAACCCGAACCACGCAGTGATTTCAAAAGTGCGCCGAACTCTACAAACTCCCCTTTCCAAATTTTTTCTTGCAAAATATGAGGAACTCCAGACCCCAGATCATCACAAACACTAGTTAAAGTGGTATCAGTGGCAAAAGAAGAAGATGCAATTGTAGCAGTTACAGGGGCCGATGTTACGGACAGTGACGGGCCCGAGGAACTTTTAACCACAGGTTCAGGGGTAAATTCGACATGAACGGACTTACCCAATCCCAAAGTCGGAGACGCGCCCCCTCCAGGCAGACCGATGGGGGATGGCGTAGCAAGCTGGCTGTCAATACTGATGCCGCTATCCAGTCCCACGGAATCCAATGGTACCGAGGTACTTGCCACGGACACCGTGTCCCGTGTCACACCTGATGAACTCGCACTTCCATCGGGGACTGGGACTGGAACCTGCCGGGCGGACGATCGAGGCCGTCCCCGCCTACGCTTCACTCCATCGACCGGCCCAGAGGCAGCTCGCCCCTTAGACTTGGACTTGGGCATAACTTAACACAAATTTTTTCAGCAAGACAAAACTTCCTTGCAAGACCTAACCGCGCGGCTGCTCAAGCAAAAGTGACCGTGTGCTCGAACTTTCAGTTACCAGTTCATTAAAAGTGAACTAGTTCATGCACTTAAATCATTGTGGCCACAAGGGGAGTGACCTGGAATGGCCAACCTTCCAACCAGCCCTGTCAACGGTCCAGCGGTGATAAATTATTTGAAGCTTCAATTCCATTTGCCTCAAATCGATTAAACGGGACAGGTGCACATAGGCCTTGGAGCTCAGACCATGTGTCATGCACTCCTCAATGCATAGATGATGCACATAACACTATGGGTAGTACAGGCACAGCTGGGGGTACTGCCCAAACAATGATGAACGCATTGCGTATGCTTAAAGAATTACCCACAATTCCGGTTTTTACCGTTTAGGTCTGGCTCTAATCACTTTACGCGATCCCCTGACGTCTCATACAATGACTTTAGGCAAAATAGTCAGACTTTTGCGGTCTAGTAACCAGACTTTGACTCATAACGAAACATCGAATGAAAAGGGAAACATCAAATGCATATTGCAAAAGATCGAATGCAAAGATACCGATGAAACATCGAATACAAATAGGCCTAGCTCGAAATTTCAAACATATGTGTAAAACATTGCTCACATATTTGAGAATATCGCAAATATATTGTAAAACAACACACACAATTGTATCGAAAAACATCGCACATTTTATGCAAAAAATCGAACATAATATTGAAAACATCGCACATATATATCGTCAAAAACATCGCACATATAAATTGAAAATCGCATAATAATAAATGTAAAAGTAAACATCGCACACATATATTGAACATCGCACATATATTGTAAAACATCACACAAATATATTAAACATCTCGCAAATAATGAAAAACATCGCACACTTATATTGAACATCGCACATAAATGTAAACAAACACATATTAAACATCCAACATATATATTGCAAAATATTGAATATTGCAACGTTTGATACGCCATAGCGAACTGCATAAATCTAGTGGTCTCGCACCGCCAAGACATACATCCGCATTCCGCACGCCGTAGAATATTTTAAGTTTCGTTCAATATATAGAGGGCGCGCCACATAAATAGTGGTCTCAACACCGCGTCAACACGGATGCGGCACAATTGAACAAAAAGAACAAACTCGTTTCCGATGAACTACTCAAGAAATACAAAATGGATTAAGTTGAAATTTCGTGCAATTAGTTTTCACGATGTGTAGCGTAAGCAGTTTGAATGGCGTGAGAAACCGTGGATCTGTAAATATAATATGATCGGAACAATCTAGTGTTTTAAACGCTAAAAGTCCACGTTGACTTCCATTAGGATTGTATTTGTCGCGATTAAAACCCTCTATTGTTACGGTCATAATAGCTTGATTATTTGACGTTTTTTTATGAAATTAATTTTTTTTTATGTCAAACATCAAGACAAATGAGTGTACGAACATTCTTTTTAATGTAACGTGTATGTCTTGAGTTGTTGGCCCCAAATCGAGTTTGGTGGTGGAGATCGAGACCACTATAATGACTATTAATAGTGGCGCTAATTTGCAAAGGAGTGCAGGGATCATGGATTGGCTTCGCCACCACTGACTTTTGTACTGGAGTGGTCATCACATGCTCACAACTTTTGATCGCCAAGGCATTTGAAATTTCAATCAATTAAATCTAGTATTTCTTTAGTTGTTGCCCCCAAGGTTTGAGTTCTGCATTTCAAAATTGAATACTCCTCCAGCAATTTGTCATGATGACTGTGTTACATTATGAGATTTAATTTCATGAGAAACCATCCAACAATAAAAAAAAGAGCATACCCGAAACAAATATATTATTTTAAATGTGAAAAATACAAACCAAATGATGAAAAGATAAAAAGTCAACGTCCATGGAAAAATTGTTTGAGATGAGCAATAACCCGAGCTCACCATGCCAAGCTATATTAAGCAAGGGTGGATCCAGAACACAATTTTTTTTGGGGGGGAGGGCCCAAAAATAAAATTTGTCGCCCAAAAAGTGGGTCTGCTTAAGGGCCCCGAAAAACGTTTGGATTCTAGATGCTCTGTGGTGCGATTTGAGGCAATTTCTAATCACTTTATTCAATGTTTTTTTGAGAAAAAGATGGTGGTGTACTCATTGCCTGCCTTTATTGCGACGTCACATGAAAAAAATGGTTTTCGGGGGTGTTTTTTTTTGGGGGGGGGCATGGCCCCCTAGTTGCCCCCCCCCCCCCCCGGATCCGCCCTTGACCGGCCACAGCTTTTAAGAGCGAGCCAGGCGGGGACACATGAAGCAAAATCGGCCAGTCGGAAAGAGCGTGTCACCTCAGCACCTCAGTCGGAAATGATGAAGAGCGCCACCTACTGTCCGATACTTATGTCCGCTTTTAAGGTTGCCGACCAGTAATAAACTGCCATAGAACTGGGCCAATTTTAAATGCCCCCACTTCCGAAATTCTGGAAAAAACATACTCACAGCTCTCCGAACCGTTCGAGACACACAAATTAAAGCGTATTTCTTCATCTTTCATTTTCTTATCTATTTTTTGGGGGGGTCAACCAATGACTTTTAGGAGAAATTTCCATCCGAAGATGATCACCTTGAAGTTGTCCTGAAGCCCATCACCATTTTGAATAACGATGCCTACACTCCATTGCAAAATAGAGCGCTTTTAGGTCCCACATTTCATCCAAATTGCACAGAACTACAAGCTTACAGTCCTGTGCAAGGCTTCAGCCCCCTTTTTTTTTTACAAACCCTCAAGCTCATGTCCACTAAAAATGTGCTCAAATAACGAAGAATTTGAGGGCATGCAAAACGTGATTTGGCCGGCGTAGCCAATATGTCACCGATTTACTGGCCTGTATTCTTTCAAAAGCTGCAGCTATAAAAAAATATATCTTTATAAATAGGCCATTGATAAGTTACCCAGAAAGACATCCCCACTTCCTACACACGATTCTGTGAAGCTCATCAGCCCTTGAATTCCCGGCCTAGCGCCCTAGGCCCTGTTTGCAGGGCTGGGGTGGGGTGTACCACCTGCGAAGTTCCATTATGCACATCATGAACATCGCCCTACGTTTCAATGTGTTTTTTTTTTTATAGAATTAGAAGGAAAAGAACGTTCTGCTCACATTATTTTTCAGGAAAACAATGTTTAATTAAAGGCTAATGAAAGACTGTTGGAAACAGCGAACGGAACAGAGGCCTGATCTACAGTGTAAATCCGTTAAAAAAATCCTTTTCTAAAAACGTCCATATAATGTTGAAATAGTAGGGACGGAGTTTAGAAAAGAGAAGAAGTCGGTCGCGGGTACAGACGGGGTCGAAACATCCCCCCCCCCCCGGCATTAAAAAAAAACACGAAAAATATATAATTATTTTAATAATGACACGGTCCGCCTGTCCACAACAATCGGATATGAACATCTGACGGGCCTGGACATCCCCCCCCCCCGCAAAAATTCCGGGTCGCCCCTGAACGCACATTATGCCTTTTCAAAAAAGCCTACGTCACGGTGTTAAATGGTGCGTAACGATAAATAGGTTTATAACAAATGAAAACAGTTGGCTCATTGCTGCCCGAAGTATCAACTTCTGTTCGTCCATGGAGCTAGATAAAACAGATGCACTCAGCAATGATCAATGTTTCTCCGCCTGTTTAGAAAAATCGTTTTTGAGCAGAATTCTAAGGAAACCGAATGGCCTAGTGGTTAGATTCGTCGTCTACGAATCGCGGAGCCCGGGTTCGAATCCCATCTGTGTTTTTTTTTTTTTTTTTTTTTGCTTCTCAGCGCTCGCATTCAGTCATTATAAGATGTTTAATTTCCCATCGTAAATCACCAACAGTACCTTATATGATGCACATTATGGACAGCGCCCTACGTTTTTTTTTTTTTTTTTATAGAATTAAAAGGATGAGAACGTCCTGCTCACATTATTTATTCAGGAAAATAATGTCTGATTACAAGACCCCGACACGGGAATCACTGAACCAGCTATATTTATTGTGTAAAGTTACCCGAGTAGAGGCTATGCAAGCTTATGGCGGAAGCGAGCAAAGAGCGAATTAGCGCGGAGTCCATAATGATCGGTATATACAGGTGCTATTTCAATCACCTTGGAATCGACGTTTGGAAGATTGTTCCCATATATAGATTGAAAAAATTTACACGGGCAGCTATGTAATATTTACTTTTTTTTTTCTTTAAATGATACAAATGTCCTTCATATCGATCCGGATCCCTCATTCAAAACCAAATCAAAAATTTTGATAAATTAAACAGATGCTAGTACAACACGGGGGGGGGGGGGGACGGGGGAAGACGAGGCTACAGGCATCAAGCAAAGGGAGAGGGGGTGGGTGGGAGGGAGGGCGGGCGTGCCCCAGCACTAGGTTAAAGGGAGAATACAACATTAATTTTGCAAACATCAAAAAATAAAACTACCAAATTATTTTGAAATACCTCGCTGGACTGTTGTTAGTGAATGACAGTCTAAAGCATCCTGTAAAATCATGGCACCTAGTCATATTCAAGAAAAGTGGTATTCGTATCAATTTCCAACGCTGGTCGGCCGACCAGCGTTGAAAAAACTGACTTTTTTTTCAAATACTGGCCCCAATTGACCATTTAGTTAAACCGCATTTGTTTGTTTTTTGGTTTTTATAGCATCTATGAACCCAAAACGTCAAAAAGTCAGTGTAACAGTATTTGCTTTATATTACCACCCCCCCCCCAATCCATCCATTTCTGAAAATTACAGCAAAAGCAAATGATGTATATTCCCTTTATGCCACCATATTTCAACCACGGCAAAACAGAATTAACCAAAATCAAATAAATGACGATAAATACAATTCCAGGAGTCTTTACACTTTGCCGCAAATTTAGCATTGGTTTAATTTCTTTAAACCGGGAGTATGGTACAAAATACAAATTAATAAAACAAAATAACTTCGTTCTGGTTTAATATATTATTGATGCTACGTATTGGAATCTCGAACTTTTAAACTTTCAGAAATTGCAGAATTATCAACGACTTTTTGAAAACCCAAGTCACAATCTATAACCCTTTAGTTGGTTTCCATGGCAATTTGATGATAACAAATATGTAACATTTTTTTATGATGAACATTTCTATTCAACAGCATTCACTACATAATATATATTGGCCGTATGCATTTTGCGAATCCAAAAATGTGACCTGTCACTACGAAATGAGCTTAAAGTTGGAAATTGCCATGTTGCAGTGCAGTGGGGCAAAGCCCAAATTTGAAGGAGTGGTAATTTTTTTAATATTATTTTAAGGTAAACCTTACTCTGTAAGTCATATTTTACCTTTCTACAATTTGTTTTGTTCCGTCAAACATCTTAAAAACATATTTCATCCCGTCAATTATAAGTTGACTGTTCATTCACCGTAACACAACTGCAGGATTTTTAAATGCCATTTTCTCAAGAATCAGTTTTACAACTTCCAGTAAGTTGGTGATCCATTATTTCAGTTATTGAACTCAGTACCCCTCAATGTTGTACACCATTGGAAAGTTCTTGTTCTGCAGAATCCAGATGTATAAATATCTCAATTCTTAAAAAGTCAGACTTTAAGCCCATTTTGTGCTGACAGATTGACTGCAGAGCTAGAACTCCTATAAATTCTTTCAGTACAGTGGAACGTCGCTATACCGAACACCGCTATACCGAACATTCGGCTATATCGAACATCGTCCTTGGCTCCCGATTTTTGTGTACCCAACCAACCGAACATTGTTGTCGTAAACCGTCAACAGAAGAGCGACAAGTCGCTAATATTTCCCCAAGGCATAGAAGGAGGAAGCCACCCATTGATGTAGGTAGTAAGCTCAAAACTAAGTAATTACATAAATTCAATAGTTTGTCTGCATAACGCACACGTTTGTGTCCAATAAACAATTCTTGTTTCGACATTGCCAAAAAAAGGTTTTGCTATTTGTTATTGTGCACTCACCATTGACGTTACAGACTATTGTAGAGCGGCAACGTAAAAAGCACACACTGACTTTCAAGCACAAATGGTAAAGGGTTACGGGAGACGGAAATAAGGCTAGCAAGCGAATGTCTCCAAACACACTGGATTGTGCCTCAACATGGCCACTTCTTTTGAAAATATCGGTTGACATTTTCACCCTTCACGAAATATGGCGTCAACAATAACAAGAACAAGTGGGTATAAATTGTCACTTCTTTGACAAATAGAGGGAAAGAAACTTTGTTTCATTATCTCAACATAAAGTGTTTCACATAAATTAATATTTCAATTACTTTTGGAAAAAGTAGTTTCAAACCAGTGTTGTAGCTGAGCCCATCACAAGTCTTCACAAGCAGCCACAAGTCCATCACAATAATAATAATAATAATAATTACCCTGGATTGGACATTTGGGAGACCTTCCCGTAGACATGTGCACCCAATTTTTCAAACTTAATTGTGCCCTAACCCAATATTCCTTTGTCTTTTTTGCACAAATTTCGGTATGTTTACTAATTAGACCACGAGCAACAAATATAATCTAATTGCGGCAGCAAAATTTTGCCTCTAAAGGGGGGCTGTGACATTAGGGAGACATGAAAATGTCTCCCTAATGACCGATGTCTCCTACCGTTCGAAGAAATTACGATACCGTGTCTCCTTAATGGTACCATAACACGTATAACAGTTACATGTACATATATAGCACTTTTAACTCGGATAAAAGTGCTTTACATTATTATTACCCCCCATCATTGGGAAAAGCAAACATTCCAAAGACAATCTCAGCTCCCTGGGGAGTATATAGCACCACGCTGCCATTTCGGTGCAAAGCAGCTAAAATCAACTGCAATAACCATCTGTGCCCTCACAGGTACCCATCTACTCCTGGGTGGGGAAAGGCAAGGAGTGACAAAGTGCCTTGCCAAAGGCACACGCACAACAGCCGCAGGCTGGACTCGAACCCACAACCTGCAGAATTACCCAAACCTGCAGAATTACCCACAGACCATAAGTCCAATGCTCCAGACCACGAGGCCATGCCACAAACTATTGAAATGAACTCTGACACTGGCATTCCTTTGTTACTGTTTGTCCCGTTATTTGTGTATGGACTTGTGAATGGAATTGTGATTTACTTTGTGGGGTGCTGTGGTCCAATGGTTACGGTGTTCGACTCGTGTGCCGTGGTACATGGGTACGAATCCTGACCGTGGGAACATGGTGCTTGTGCTCTTGAGCAAGGCACTTTACCATTATTGCTTCGTGTGTTGTGTAATGCACGTTAAAGAACCCAGTAGCACTTATCGCTAAGAGAAGGGGTTTGCCCCGGTGATTCTGGCAGCGGCTGCAATATGCGCCGCAGCACCTTGTAAACCCTTATAACGGTGCTACATAATGGGTCTCATATTTCTCATGTACTTCACTTTACTTCTCTTTAAAAATATACATAATTACCAGCGCCTTGAGTACCTAATTGTTGGTAGTATGTGCGCTATATAAGTCTTCAGTATTATTATTATTATTTGTGACCAGACTGGTGATGTACTTGTGATGGATTCGACTACAACACTGGCTAAAACAGTAATGATAATGCAACATCCTCTACGAGATGAAGACTATAATAAGCTTTTCTTTGTCTTGGCGTCTTGCTTGGCTCTCCAGATCATGAGCTCCATGCAACTCTTGGCATCTTCTTTACTATCGTGTCCACCGACTGTGAAACAAAGAACATATTTGAAAGAAATTACATTGAAATCATTTTTTTTCTCCATAATCCATCAAATCCAAACCTCTCAAGATCTCAAGGATTAGTTGTCAAGCTGAAGGTCCACGATGACGATCATGCACAAAACATATGGGAGGTCTTCCTAAAATTTTATAGTACAAACAAAAGGGACAATAGGGGGTCCACGATTGAAGGTGTCTACACTTGTGTGGGGATGTAAGGTGGGGGCATAGATCTCGCTCATGAGACGCCATCTTTGTAGGAAAATTACAACTGCGTACCAACGCCATCAGATGCCTGGAAGCGCTGGGTGCATAATGTTCTAAACACACGCACACATTGCTTCGAAATACGGCGCAGCCGGTGTGCGTCATGAAAATTTGACGCCCAAAATGCTGATGCACGTGGCAATCTGTAGGAAGTGGCGTCATTTGAGAGAGACCTATTGGGTGTCACAACCTCCTCCCATCAATACTTTTTGTCAACAAAATCGTCCTGTTGGCAAAGTCACGTGTCTGTTGGCAAATGTGCCACAATGAATAGCGCCTCCTATTGGCAGACAGTGTCCAAAATTGTCCTCCCGATATTTTAATTTGAAAATATTTCCTGGTGACCTTCCAACACGTCTATTGGCAAATTTGTTGTCACGCCACACCCCCTCCTCCCATTGAAAATGGTCTGGCGACGCCCCTGGCCACACTCACCGTCATTCTGGATAATTCTGTTCAGACACTCGGCCATCAGCGTCCGGAGAGCTCGCTTGAACGGCAAGCCACGTCTGTGCGGAAACAGCACCGCGGTGTCTACGACTGTGCTGTGAATCATCTGCAGAAATATATAATCAACAAGAGCTTTGTAAGTCAATTTTTTTTAGTATCAGGGCCCAATTTTGTTGTTCTGTTTACAACTTTGTTCAACGAAAAATCCTTTACTGTGGCTGAAACTGTGAACTGCAGGTTCACATATTTCACAGGTTAGTGAGGAATTTTAGCATGCACACATCATGTGACTAAGGATTCTGCACTTTAAAGCATTAGCAAGAATTCAGTTCCCTAAAACTGTTACAATGGTGATCTTAAGCGCGAAATTCTGTGGTTAGCATTTTAGCAGTGCCCAGATCAGTCTTTGGGTACATTTCATTTCATTTCAGCTTGCTTGAGTTCCTTTGATGAAAACTGGAGCATGCATGACCTCTGGTCTGCAGTGAAATAGACACACCTTGTGCTAGGAATGACATTCTATATACATGTACAATAACAGTGGCCAGGCTGCATACAATTCCAATCCTACAAAATCTTCCGAAAACTTCTGGTGGAATTTGAAGGATTTGGGAGGGTTGAGGGGTCTACGTACCTTGAGCGCGAGCATGTCGCTCTCCAGGCTGTGACCAATCAGGATAGTGTCGCTACTGACCATGCTCAGTAGGACTGCTTGGACGTCTTGCAAGGTTGTCGTCGCCGACTTCAGATCCTCTTCTGTAATGCCACTGAATCTGTAGATTCAAAGTATTGAAATAAATAGTAATAATGTGTTACTTATAAAGCAAACATATCCACTGTTATTGGTGCTCAAGGCACTACTTCATATTTCCGTACTCATTGGGCCAATAAAACGATCTCAGCTCCCTGGGGAGTATACAGCTCCATGCTGCCATATCGGTGCAAAGCAGCTAAAATAAATCACAATACATATCCTTGCCATCACAGGTAACCATTTACTCCTGGGTTGGAAAAAGCAAATAGCGACAAAATGCCTTGCCCAAGGGCACACGCACCATAGCTGCAGGCTGGACTTCAACCGCACAATTAGTAAATCACACAGTTAAAAAAACAAACACACAAACAAACCATGCACGCAATTGTTTGAAAACAATCTTTCTCATGCTTCACATTGAACCTTCTTTACAAGTAGATTTCTGCACACAAAGAGGCTAAACCTAAAATTAGCAGAATTTTGATGACATCAGCAAGACTGCAGTGACAAACTGTGTAATAAGCCCTATATTATCATGTTTAACCCTAACCGCCCTGAATCCTCCAAAATCCTTTTTGCAAATTGGAGGAATTTGCAGGATTGAGGTTACATGGCAAAAGTGCGTTGCTGATTTCGGAGTACGCACTGTGTCAAGGTCTTGGGCCGGACCTTGTGTTGTTTATGCTCAGCCGTGCATAAATTTAGTCCTTGATTATACTTGACATCCTCCGCACTGCTCCAGGATGTCACTGCCTCTGCCTCAGCCTATTGACAGACATAGCCGGAGGATTTTGCAGGATTCAGGCAGTGGTCATCCCTCCATGGACCATATTCAAGAAATAACGGAGGAATTTGCAGGATTGAGGCTATATGCTATTTTTCCATGAGGCCAATTGGAGGATTTTGCAGGATTGAGGCTACATCCTAGCAAAAAGGCCTAGGGAGTTAGGGTTACTTAATATTTCTTTGCCACACAGCCATATAGGAACTACTTCATACAGGAAAAAGTTTCAAAGCCTACCTGGTGTTGTAGTCCACAATATCAGCGCTAGGCTTAACCAAGGCGTCATACACACACTGGAGTTTATCATCAATGACCGTCACTCGGGTTAACTCCAGCGCTTTGACAGTGTAACACTGCAAAAAGATAAAAGGTCGGAAACGATTTCGTAATGAGAAAAAAAATTGTCCCTTTGGAAAATTTAATATGAGCTTATTTAATATTAAGAACATGTAGGCATCGATTAATTTTGTTCAAGGTAGCCGACTAGCTGATATTTGAACGATTTTAAAGACGAAAAAAGAGGTAATACTCCTCACAGAATCTCGAAAGTCTTAGTAAATGTCGACCAAAATGTAGCATTTGTCAGACAGTAGAACCTTGCAACTTAAAGTAAGACAAACCCTTTCTTGAAATATTCAAAGGGAAATATGCAATTCAGATATTCAGTGGAAGATCGAAAATATTCGAGTTTTCGGTATATTCGGCACAGCCCTAAGATCTTTGGCATTTAGTTGCTTCCAATTGTTTGAAATTTCAAACTAAATTCAAATTTTTTGAATAATTTGCTTTGGTGACACATTGGGACTCCATCTGAAACAGGTGGTAGGCTGCATCCCAATGACATGGCTACGGATTGCAATTACACATGCGTCTATGGAAGCCGCTGCAGCCACTTCTCATAGAAGCATGTGTTATGGCCGGTCGTAGCCATGTAAATCGGACACAGCCTTAGATCTAGAAGATCTTACCATTTCACAGTCTATAGCATAGATCCCTGGGTTACCGTCTGCTGGGGGCGACTTGGCCACTGTCTTCATGAATCCTGTCAAGTTGCTGGTTTTGTCATCCGTTACGTGGTACTAATAAATAATAAAAACAATATTGATATTAATAACCAAAACCAGTTCAAATATTCAAGAAAGAACTGCTTGGGAAATTGTAATCAGCGAATGAATTTGTTGCACACAATCAACCCCAAGCTAATTTTATATTATTAAAGACTATACTCTGCATATTAAGAATTCATTAAGCAACAGATGTGTGGAGTGCTGTGGCCTCGTGGTCTGGAGCATTGAATTCGTCTGAAGAATTTGGTCTGGAGCATTGAATTTGTGCTCTGCGGGTAATTCTGCAGGTTGTGGGTTGGAGTCCAGCCCAGGGTTATGGTGCGTGTGCCCTTGGGCAAGGCACTTTGTCACTCATTGCTTCTCCCCACCCAGGAGTAAATCGGTACCTGTAAGGACAGAGGTGGTTATTGTGATTTATTTTAGCTGCTTTGCACCGAAAGGGCAGCATGGAGCTGTATACTCCCCAGGGAGCTGAGATTGTCTTTGAAATATTTTATTGTCGCAACGAGCAGGGTAATAATGATGTAGTGCTTTCAGCACCAATATTGGTGGTTATATGCGCTTTATAAATACAAGTTTTCGGTACCTTGTTATCCAAGTTGTTAAAAAAATTTGCTCGAGAGATTTTTGTACACACGAGTGTGAATTATATTATTTTTTTAAACTCATACCAACATTAAAATGACAGTAGTTTAGGGCAAAAACAGATGACAATGATCAATTTGTCACATTTTAAACCATTTTGGATGTAAATAAGTATGATCCAAACAAAGTATTGTTGCCTAAGAAATCCGATGAAGAGCCGGTAAACCTGTAAGCTAACCTTAGCAATGCAGCAGCCTTTGGCATCCGATGTGCCAGAGCAACAGTTGAAGCGACCTTCAATTGAACCACCAACTGTAACAAAAAGAAGTTATCACTCAAATAAGTATACAATCAAATCTTACTTCTTGATATGAGGTGTCACCAGAACCTTTTTTACTCATCCGAGAAAGTCAGACTTGCAACTCACACATTTGGTGTGCAATATTGTAGCATAAGGATATGGAAGCCTATCACACTTCATGAAGTATCTGAATTCCGCTGCTATTTTACCTTAGTAACTTATTTATTTCACAGTGCCTTAATAATGCAGATGCAGGAAGCATATCAACTTCACAGAGTGTACAGTTATTTGTAAAATCAGCATTTCGTAAACCTCCTGTAAATCTTCACCATAGCATAGTAAAAAGTAAAGTCTGTCAAGAGTGTTAATCTCCAGTTTCAGTAGCATGAAACGACCGAGAATATTTACATTCCCCTGGATGGGATGCTTGTCCATCGCAGGTTACTCCCCAGCTAATGCCGGTACCCATTTATACTCCTGGGTGGAGAGAGGCAAGTGGGGGTGAAGTGGCTTGCCTAAGGACACAACATATGACCAGCAGCTGGATTCGAACCCTGACCCTCTGATCATGAGTCACGAGCATTAACCACTAGGCCACACTCCCCCACCATGATAGCATGAAGCTGATTTAATTTGTTTGACTTTTTATTTCTTTGATTTTTTTATTAAACAAGACCCAATCTTTTTGTTACCACAGATCAATATTTTGAAAGACAGGGGCGGAAGTTGTTGCGGGAGGTGGGGGAGTAAACAGGTAAGATATACATGTAGGCAATTGCAGGTAGAAAGAAAAAGTAATTACTTAAGTAATGGGGCTGTTAAACACAGACATTTGCCGAGTGCAAAAAAATGTTTTCTTGGCCAAAACAGGCTACCAGCTAAACTGTCATCCTGCACGTATGCACATATGCTTGTAACTGGTTCCCAGCAGATCTTTAATTAGCACATAAAATCTGTATATAATTATCCAAGGTATCTGCCTCACTACAGCACAGCTTTACCTTTGTTGTGCCAGAACTTCCCCCAGTGGTAGGTGCAACTCTCCCGCGTGATGTAGTGCCCATCTGGACGTCGCAGGAACGTCTTACCACATCGACTGCATATGTGCTGGTTAGCTACGAGGAAAACAAGACAACAGAAGCTTTTAGTAAAGCTGGTTCCAGAATGCACAACATTATATCCAATTGATTCAAAGGTTTATAGGATACACTGTTTAACAATTGTTGACTGCTGTGATGTGGGGTATGAAGTTTTGAACTGCTGAGGGGTGCATGGCACCAAGGCGAAGCCAAGGGTGCTATGTGCCCCGAGGGTGTTCAAATCGTCATATCCCACATCACAAAAGTCAAGAATTGTTTTGTTATACCCTTTGTCTTTGACTCTTTGGATTTTGATGTAAAAATCACGAAAACAAACAGCAGTGAAAAGTTGCACCCAAGGCACACCTGTTAAAATGTGTGTGCGGTAATAAATACTAGAGCTGCTGGATTCTATAAATTTCAAGGGCTTTAACATGCTGACCGGATGGGAACAGTGAACCCCTGTCTACAGAAAAGTTTCCATATACAAAGAAGTGACATCTGACAATAAAGCGCTACAACTTTATGATTCAAAAGACATCACAATCGTGTGTGTACGTGCGTAGTGGGTTTTTTTCCCTTGAATATTGAAACCGGCAAAATGCTAATCGAATGTCGATTAATGATGGAATGTTCGAATATTCAGCATACTCGGAACAGCCCTATTAGTCTCATACCCATTACAGTGTAAATGTAATCAACCACATGTACATGTACAACACTGTGATTGCCTAGTGTTTACAAAGGGGAACTTTGCAAGAGGAACTCACGATCGGCTGAGGTATGTCTCTTGGTGTCGCCCTCCTTGACGGTCGCAAGGCCTGGAGTGTCCGATGGACGGGGGTATTTGTTGTCGACCAATTGCTCCTCAGTGAGTAGGTACGGCTTCAGTTTCTTGTACAAAAAGGCACCTACAAATTACGCATGGGAGAGACATCTTTATTAATATAAAAAACGAGGTGTCCAAAAGCTGCAAAAAATGATATTCTCCCTGCGAAATATGCTGACTTGTGTCACATGGGGTCTCAAAGCAGAGCTTTTAACCCTAACTTTTTCAACTCCATCAAAATTATAACACCTCACCCACAGATTCTGTATCTCGATCGGCTGAGAGCGAGACACATGGCATTCGCTATTTTTGCTATCTTGCTGTGCACGGCCAAAAGTACTATACCTGTAGCAACCAAAGTACCATACCCGTAGCAACCAAAGTATGGGTACTATACGCATAAGAACCGGTGTTGTGTGCAAATGCACATACAGACATACAGATGTGCGCGTTGCGCGTATTGTTCCCAAGCGCTAGCTCTACAGAGCTGGGTTTAAACATTTCTTGAAGGGGTAGTTTGGAAAAGTGCAAGTTAATTTTTCAATTAATTTTGTATTAAATTGAAGTACATTTCAATTGTGTTTAGATGAAATTAATCGTTTATCGCTTAAAATCAAGCAGAATCTGTGGGAGAGGCGTTATAAAACAAATATTGACTGCTTTATCTCGTGGTGTAGTAAAACTAGCCTCCCTCGGTGATCCATGGAGCATTCTATTTTCCCTCGGCTTCGCCTCGGGACAAATAGAATGCTTTATGGATCACCTCAAGAGGCTAGTTTTACTGTACCACTCGAAGCAGTCAATATTTGTATACATGTACTATTCCTCCATTTTGGGGAATTTTGGCAGATAGGCCATGAGTACCAAGTCCAACAAAATCCACCAGCACCAGTGGTGGATTTCAATGGATTTAGTCCTGATTGAAGCATTATAAGAAGCACAGCGAGTGATGGAATTTTGACAGATTTGGTTCTCTACTTAGTCAAACTCAGTAGGGTGAACTTTACGGTTAAGAATAAATAATAGAAACAATGCCAAACTTTAAATTCTTGTTTTAACTTGTTAAAAACCTTCTTTAACCCTGACCTTCCCAAGTCCTCAAAAATCCTCTTTGTAAAATGGAAGATTTTCTGCAGGATTGAGGCTATATGGCAAAAATATGTGGCCGATTTTGGAGGATGCACTGTGTCAAGGTCGTAGGCCAGACCTTGTGTTGTTTATGCTCAACCGTGCATAAATTCAGGCCTAGATTATACTTGAAATCCTGTGCACTGCTCCAGGATGTCACTGGCTCTGCCTCAACATATTGACAGTGATTGCTAGAGGAGTTTGCAGGATGGAGGCAGTGGTCACCCCTCCAAGGACCACATTCAAGAAATAATGGATTTTGGAGGATTGAGACTGTATGGAATTACTACATGGAGACAGTTGGAGGATTTTGCAGGAGTGCGGTTGCATCCTAGCAAAATGCCTAGGGAGTTACATATTATTTTCCAGAATTTCAAAGATTACTGAGGTGTTGCACAAATTTCTTATGTTGTTTATTATAACGACTGCACTGGGAAACAGTATAAATCTATTTCCCTATGTGCCATAGTTATACGTAATTGACCAATGTGGGACAATGAATATAGCTCATGAATATGCAACAGATCATAAAGAAAAAAGTAGAATATCTGATATAATGAACACAATGTGACATTCACGCATACCTTCATACTTGGCATCGTCCTGTAATGCCAGTCTGCTGTTTAATGAGCGATTCAGCGTGTAGGTGTGCTGAGTCGCAGGTTTGCCGCCGATGACCGCCTCGTGTGATATGCTCGCCTTGCTGGGAGGTGAGGACGTCAGCTTCGGCTCGCTGGGTGCCCGGGCGGTGCGCAGTCTCTTCAGCGTGTTGATGGACAGATTCAGGTAGATGTTCTTGGAGGTTGCTCTCTCATAAACAACCTTTTCTTCCTTCAAACCCTGCATCGTGTACAAAGTTAAACACGTAATATAGTCAGTCAATTCTGAGAAATGTTATAAACTGACTTAAAAAAGTAAAACCAAGTTTTACGCATGGGCTCCGTGCACAAGTACATTGTACTTCCTCAACAGTATTAAGAAAGTGTGAAAGGCCCTAAAGCCTTTATTTGAACCTCACTGGCCACATATACAATTTTTTTTTGAAGGTATAGTACATCATTTGCAGCTATCCAAAAAGTAACTGACGTATTAATTGTTGAAAGGCTTACTTGGTTTAAAGATAGTAATGGGACTAAACTCCCTGTGAAATTATTCTTTCTAGCAAGGTGTCATTTTGAAGAAATCAATGAAAGAAGGCCTTTCCAAAAAATGCGTCTAAAGACGAAGCGCGCGCAAGCGTGCCGTTGACCCGACGCACACACGTGTGGGTGGTTGCTATTATTTGTCGGTTCAGTGCGCGACATCGTTTAGCTGCAATCGGCTTTAGTTAGAGTGTGTCTCGAACGCTGAATTCAGGCCCAATTCAAAACATGACTCGGCAACTTTTGATTTGAAATCGATATCCTAGTATATTGTTTTCTTGGAAAATGCAGCATTCACTGAGCTGAAATCTCATCAGGTTAGTCGTTCGGCACCCTTCGTTAGATTTTGAGCACTATTGTTGCTTCAAACGAACATTATGCACAAATTACAAATGATGGACGTTACCTTTAATGAATATCACAATGTAAATGTGCGACCATTAACATTTACCTGATCAAAAGCTTCTTGCTCTGATTGCGTGGTCTTGAGGAACTCATCAATGAAGAGGTTGAGATATCGCTGGCGGACGTTGGAGGGAACTTTGCCGGCCGTGTCGGGTGGAATAACCGGCCGGGGATTCACCTGTGCAATGAAAAATACAAACAATAACATATAAATGTAACAAACAGATCTGTAATGAATACAAACAGCCATTGTAACGTTGTTATATCAATGGGTACCCTTACAAATACAGTAAAAAAAACTCATCATTCAGTAGTGACTATCATTTAATAGATTTATAATCACAGTACACAACTTTAAAACAATCAAAAAGCATGATATATGAGTATTTGCAGTGGCGACAGCCCCCCCCATGAAACCTTGTCGCCCCCCCCCCCAGTCGCCCCCCACTGAGATTTTGAGTTTCTAAAAAAATTATCATTGATCTACATGACGCCCCCCTATGAAATGTTCCAGCCCCCCCAGTGCCCCCCCCCCCTCCCCCCACTGAAAAATTCCTGGCTACGCCATTGAGTATTTGCATGGGCGCAATTGGTCGATTTGTGCTATAGATCGCTCGATTGCGCAGAAATGGGTTGTTTCATGAAATATTACAAAATTCATGAAACAACCTGCGCAGATTTGTCGGCCATTTTAAAGCAAGTCTTGATCGGGAAGTACGAAGTGGCACTTGTAGCCGCACATTTGCAGACCAATTACACCGGCTGGAACCATGAAAAATTCCTAATTTTGGTAAAATCTGGACACGCCTGGTAAGTGTACCTACAGTACAAGCCCAGTTTGAGGCCGATTGATTTCCATGAAAAATCTAAATTTTTCAGTAACTTCTCGCAGTTAAAGCCAGAGTCCATCATTTGCAGCTATCCAAAAAGTAACTGGCATAATTATTGTTGAAAACATATTTGGTTGAAAGATAGTCAGGGGACTAAACTCCCTATGAAATTATTCTTTCTGGCAAGCTGTCATTTTAAAGAAATCAACGAAAGAAGGCCTTTCCAACGGTGCGTCTTAAGAAGCACCGTTGGAAATTTCCGTTAGTAGTTCGTTTTTTTATTCGGTGAAGTGTGCGCAAGCGTTGACACGCAGTTGCTATAATTCGTCAGATCGGTGCGCGACATCGCCTAGCTGCAATCGGCTAGTGAAAACGTTTCTCGGGTCACGCTGAATTCAGGCCCAATTCAAAACATGATTCAGCAACTTTGGATTTGAAATCGAGATCCTAGAATGTTGTTTTTCTCGAAATATACAGCTAAAGCTGAGCTGAAACTTCATCAGGTTAGTTGTTCAACACCCTTCTTTAAATTTTGGGCACTTTTGTTGCTTCAAACGAACAAAATGCACAAATTACAAATGATGGACGACATGTACATGTATACCTTTAAGGCAGTATGGCCTCTAGCACAGAGTCTACTCTAGTGCGTTGCCATAGAATAGGGCAAGTGTGGAACCAGACTAAGATTTTGTCATGATCAAACTTATTAAATAAAAAAAAAACCCACCCCAGTCACTAAGCATGTTCAGCGCCATTCCGGCTTAACATCGTTTACTAACCGACGCTAGCCAAATATCCACTGCCTTGTTAGTCTGGTTCCCAGACCAAAAGATTCTGACTATTCCCGATGAATCTTAGGTCCGGTAGCCTCCGGTAATACATTGTATTACAGTTTACGTCACGTGACTAAAACGGGAGGAATTCCTCCTTTTTCCGAAAATTTCCAAAGTTTGCCGAATTCGTTTCGTCGACAATCGGATAGCGCCCGAGTATTTCCGAATATAATATAGGTTTAATTAACTGCTAATTGCTTATTACATTTTTTTTTTAAATGAGTTGATAATTAATATTCATTGCTTTCATTTAGAAAACTTGAAATTTAGCGACGATTTTGTGAATCAAATGTACTCGGAACGTATGGGCGAACTTTTTGCTGCGTCATGTACAATTTTGAATTTGATGACCGTTACTGAGATTTTCCAAAACTCGGTCTTCATTCGGCTCCGCCTGTTAACAGTGCTATTTGGGTGCCTAATTTTGAAGATTCCAGATCAACATTAGTCAATGTTATCTTACAGAAACATCAAACTGTATTATCATAACTGTATGATATTACAAAGCAAGTGATTTACTTAAAAATTTGATTAGATCGAACATTAAAAGCTAAAGTGATAAAGCAAAATCGGAAACGAAGCCGAGCTTTGAAAAAAAGGGCCATCAATGTCGTCATGTTTATTTTTAGCCACGGAGGCTGCCTGACCTAAGATTCATCAGGAATAGTCAGAATCTTTTGGTCTGGGAACCAGACTACTGCCTTGTGTATCTCCCTCGCAAGCCATCAGCTACACATACCTCTTGTTTACAATGTGGTAAAACTAGCGGACGATACTATTAGTATATTATACTTAATCCCCTTCTCCTTAAAACAATTTTAAAAAATACTCAAGCCCTCGTGGTTCTGGATCCATCCTTGGGAAATCACATTCCTTTGAATGTCAATGAATTGAATTTCATGTAAGCTAAAGAATGATCGTTTTAATGTTTGGCAGTCATGTATCTACGGGCCTGGTTCTAGGGAACAACATCCACTTTTAAATTAATCGACCTACATGTACCAAACTAGTTGGCGACATTAAGAACATACAGGTATGTCATAGATAAAGGGCATTGGGGTTTTGAATTTTTGAGGAAAATTTGGGTGAAAAATGACGATGACATATGACAAAATGCAACGAGAGAATAAGGATGGCGATCACCGCGCGATGTACCGTGAACGCGAAGGCGCACTGAATCGCAAAGCACCGACTGTAAACCCGAAGAAAAATTGTAATATCTACCAAAAAAAAAAATGTTCAAAAATTACAAAAAAAGGTGTCATTATATTGAGAGAACTCTGTTCTAGGTTGAAAAGGTCATTTTTGAGTAATAAAAAAAACACCTTTGACCCTAATTTTATCAAAACTAAACAGGGGCCCTACACTACACGATCGCCTAAGCCAAGGCTAATGTTTACAATTCCAGACATTTACTACGTTACTATTTTAACATTTTTACTGCATTTAGGCCTACTTACAGTTTCAGCAAAGACAAGTTCTACAATACGAGGTTTTTTACTAGAAGCCGCTCCCGAATGTGCAGAGGTTGCCTTCCGTTTTCTCGCTGAGGCAGCAGCAGTACTGCTGGTCTTGGTTTTTGTTCTACTTGTCCTTTTTTTCCTTGTGGTTTTACTTTTTGTTTTACGTTTAGTTCTTGTCTTCCTTTTGGTTTTAGTTTTTGTTTTACTGGTTGTACGCTTAGTGGTGGTCTTTGCCTTACTTGTAACTTTAGGCATTTTTCCAGGCTAAAACCATGAAATCCATAAAATGTTGTCCGACTGTACACTGCAATGCAATGTACAAAGCTGCACAAATTGATTACTGTACACAATGCATGTATGCAACGGTACCCTGGCCCACATACATAGAATATTACACATTCCTAGTAATGTCACCAGACTGTATGTAAAATGTTATTATACCGCCCTCTATTGGCCAAAAGACAACAGTCAAAAGTTTTTTTTAATACCTGTTTGTATTTTGTATAAATGCTACATACACCAACAGTCACCACTTTTTAATCTGACTTCCCCCTTAAAAACAGGAAAAGAATATTAATCCAGCCCATTCCAATAACTACTAATCTTGACAAATCTTTAGAGTACCTTGATGCAATGAATTAATGATTTCTTAAAAATAAAAATAGCTTCAACCCCCCCCCCCCCCCCAAACAAGCTTGTGCTAAAAAGGCATTCCCCCCCACCACTGATCCTATAATATTTTAGTAGTTATAAATGCATTCCTTGCTGCAATTTAAATTGTTTGAATATTTGTTTGAATTGAAATATATTAATGTCAAAAGCTGTATATATATAGTTTGTTAAAAAGCTGTATATAATTTGTCATGAAGAAAATTTAAACTACAGTTTATAAAGCTAATCTTCATTGTTAACTTCTTTATTTAAATTGTTTTAATTATTTTTTAATAGAACTATATTAATTTGTCAAAAGCTATTCACAGAATGTGAAAAAGGCTATAGAGTTTGTCATGAAGATGTAAATTTAAACTAAAGTTTTATAAAGCTAATCTTTTTTTGGGGGGGGGGTGTTGATTGAAATTTGGCAACACTTTCAATAACTATAACACTTTATACAACACCTGAATAAATCCCCGTCATCTGATTGGTAGATTGTTGATCACACATCATTGAATTATTCATCCCAACGCACAGCGTACAGTGCAATGGAAGTTCTATTGCACGGTGAATAGAACTTCCATCGCACGGTTTGACTGCTGCCAGTGGTGGCGCTGTGGAACAGCTTTTAACTTGCATAAATTGGATATTAAAGTTCTGAACTTGTTGCACTGTTTAAGTTCTGAAAACTGTGGAACAGCTTTTAACTTGCCATGCATAAATTGGTAATAAAAGTTCTGAACTTGTTGAACTGTTCGAGTTCTAAACTTGTGGAACAGTTTAAAAATTGATAGATAAATAGAATATGATAGTACTCAACCTGTTGAACACTTTGCATAAATCAAATATGGTAGCTCTGAACTTGTCGAATTTTTAAACAGTTTTTAACTTGAATAAATTGGCTATTAAAAGTCAACCAATCAGATGAGGAGGATTTATTCAGGTGTTATAAAACAAATAATGATTGTTTCACGTTTGAGCAATGGAAAGAATAATTTCACTTGGTGACAGATGAAATGCTCCATTTGTGGAATGGAACATTTCATCTGTCACCTCATGAAATAACTCTTACCATTGCACTCACAAGCATTCATCATTATTTGTATAATATGACTCACCTTTTTAGGGACGTGTGCTAATCTTCTTTCTCCTTTCGGTGCGGTTATAGCAACTGTCTTCCGAGCGCCTTCCGAGTGCCCGATGGAATACTTCTGCTGTATCTTGGCATTTATTCCCATGACCGACGATGCTGACGACTTAATACCCGTAGTAGGACTTGATCTCGAAGACGGAACATGAGATACCCTTCTACTGACGTTGTTAGTGGGTGTATATCCAGCAGGAATTTCTCTCGTTTGTTGTTTCCGTTCGTCTTGTCTGTCCTGTTGTTCGCGGAGATGTTGCTGGGCCTGCAAATAGCGGTTGTGGCACACTTGTAGCGGGGTCAGCCTTGCTTTGGGTTGCGGAGCACACTTCCTGTATTTTGCCTACGGATTAAAGAAAAATAAGGATATCAAAGCATGCAAATTTTGTAAAGCCATAAATAAAAGGATGAAATTTCAAGCTTTATAATACTCCCTGTGGTGTTTTTACAAATTTCTGATGGCATACAAGAGACCAAAAAAATGAGGAACATACATTAATTATGTTTCATCAACTTTGTTATCAGCAAATGATTTACTGTTGCACCTTATGTCCAGCTTGATTTATTTGAGGGTACAGGATTTACAGTAAGTACATTTAGCAAAAGGAGAGGCTACTTAATAGTGTAGCTCACACAAGTCAAAGAACTACGCAATTGTTAACCAGTTCGCATACGTGCAAAAGATTTACGGTATTCGGAACAGCTAAACACACAGGGAGCAAGGCCGAAATATCTCGCAGCGAGCGAGGCCGGAAATAAAAGTGTGCTGCCCGAGGGCGATGGCTTCAACCCGTCTGGCTTGAGGTTGAGTGAAAAGTAATCCCGTGCCTTGTTCCGTTCTTGTCAAAATAATCCCGGTGTGAACTGGTTAAAGGCGGTCTACATTACTTAAATACCAGTGACTCAAGTTTTGCGGCAGATTTTCAGAACCGTTTCTTCAACAATGTGTTTTTCAAAACACAATTGCACCTTTGCCCATGATAAATGTGGGAAGATTAGCTGAACATACCTGAGACGAGTTGAGTTTGGATGTATGAGCAACTCTTTGTTTTACTGTTGACAAAACAAGGTCTTCACTTCTTGGCTGTTCAGGCTGAAAAAAGAAAATAGGAAAATCAACGTTTTACCAACATCAAAAGATTCAAAATTCATTACGACTTAGAACAATATTAATTGAATGAAAAGCAACCCAAAAGCTTACTTCTCGGTGAGGCGTACGTGGCTGCTTGATTGGTACTTCTACGTTTTCCTCTTGGAAAATTCTCAGACATTCTTCGAAGGTGTCCGACTCGGAGAAGCTCAACTCCATGTCATTTAAGTCGTACTCGTCACTCAGTTCAGCATCTTCATAGTCTGAAGTTGAGACACTTTCAAGTCCAAAATCCAGAGCCAAGTTGCTTAATCCTTCATCGCTCGTGTCAAAATGAGGACTTTTGGGAGGACTTGGTAAAAATTGCTTTTTCACCGTCGGTTTAGTTCTATTTCTTGTACTGGAATCACCAACCCTGACTTTATCTGATGTTAGTTTGCCTTCTATGCTTCGATGACTGGAATCGTGGTGATACTTGTCCTCTTGCGAAGATTTTGGACAATTTCGCTTCTGTGAGGATGCTGTCTTACTTTCTTTACTATTTGTTCTCTGATGACTGGAATCGTGGCGAAAGTGATCTTTCTGAGTCGATTTTCGGCCATGTTGTGTCCGAGAGGAAGATACTTTACTTGTTTTTCCACTTGTTTTCCTGTCATCTGTCCTGGTAGATCCAGTATTTCCAGACAAATTTTTATCAGCACCTTTGCTTTTATTCTGTTTGACTGTGAAGGTTGAAGTACTTTCTTTGGCAGTGGAGTGACGCTTGGATTGGTGCATCTTTACTTTTCCATCAGTACCTGAAGACCCGTCACTTATCAAAAAAATGTCGTCTTCACTTTGTCTTTTTACAATTTGCACATCCGAGCTGTCGCTGTCGCTGTCTTCCCCAAGAGAAGTTTCGTTGATGCCTTTCTTTTGGAGATTTTAGCGGCGAGGTTCTTTCTGTTTTCAAGTGGGTTTACCCCACTCTCTTTCCGTGCACCATTTGTCATTGTGCTTTTTGACGTCTTTGCTAAATTGTCTTCTGAAGAGCTGGAGCTATCAATAATGATTATCTTGCCTTTTTCAGGAAGATTATGAGATTTGGGATCATTGCTGGCATTTTGTTTTCTACCAGAGCTAGACAGGTTTTTACTTTCATTTTTTTTCGCCAATTCTTGGGAGGTTTTCTCGGATCCAGCTACTTCGGACTTCTTTGTTTCCACGGCAGACTCATTCTTGGCGAGTTTAGTTGTATGTTTGCTTCTGTCCTTGTTGGCGTTAACTTTTGCTTTTTGACTTTTGTTTTCATTCATCCTTTTGAAGAATGAAGACAGCTGATCCGAAGACACTGATGGTCTTGACTTCTCTGATTTTTCCACTTCACTGCCACTTTTACCATCTGCAGTTATCTCTCCTTTTGCTCCGTTTGTTTGCTTGTTTTCATTTTCATGTTTCTCCTCGTTCTTAGTCACACTACTCTGTTTCTCTTTAGTCACGTCCTTACGCTTGGACGCATCGACGCTCTTTTTAGTTGAACTTTTCTCCTTTGTATCACACACTGACTTTGTCTTCAAAGATCCTTTTTTAATTTCTTTTGGGCCGTCTTTCGTGTTTGGGTTGTCTTCTTCTCTGAAACTGCCTTTGAAGTTTTGGGTGTTTGTTTCTCCTTGGTACAACCGTCATCCGCGGTGCTTTTTGAGAGTTTTGTCAAATACTCCACAGGATTCAGCTCCTGTTCGGCCGAGTTCAAGCCGTCCTGTCCTTGGTGGGTTTTGCTGGGGTTGTAACTGTAGGTTGGGTTGAAGCTGCTTGTAGAGTCAGACGGTGGGTCAAAGTTCACACAGGTACCCACCAGAAAATTATCCTGCGCTAGATCACCCAGCCAAGCATCGCCGGCTTTTTCATCATCAATGCTGCCTTCATTTTCAAGAGCGCTGCTATGGTCATCGCCTGCGCATTTCTGTTTCTTGCGTACTGGCTCCTCTTCCGAAGACGAGGTCTTCCGTTTGTTCTCGGTCTTTTCATCTATGACAAGCGTGTCGCTATCTGACGAAAATTCCGATCCTTTCTCCAAGTTCTGTTGTTTCTCAAAGGTCTCTCCGGAAGAAAAATTTGAGCAAGGGTCGTACTCGGTTTCATTTCCTTGCTCCGAATGAATGGTGGCAATGGAGTATTTTGTTGTCGGAGTGTACTTTGCACTATCGTGAGGAGACAAACTGTCATCGTTATGAAAAGGGTCGTATTCATCGATCTCATCAACGTTTTCATCATTTTTCTCGGAATCGTCAAAGTCATATAGACCATCATCCTCTTCAACTGTGGCTGGTTTTAATGCTAGTTCTTCCTGTGTGCTAGCTTGGGTGGGTTTTTGATTACACAAATGCTTGCCCGACGACCCTTCCGTCCGGGATACCTCCGTTTCCAACAAATCGGGCAATTCCAAAGATGCATCACCCGAATGACCACGTTGAACTGAAGTTTCAGAGCTTGCAGCTTTTTGTTTGCCCGACGCGAGCAAGCTATTATTTCCCAACGGATCATATTCATCTTCACCTACAGGAACTCCGCAATCCAGGGAGTATTTTTCTGACTTGGCATCACTCGACACTGCGTAGCTAGTCCTTGTGGGATCATACTCAGAGTCATCCCCCTCATTCACCAAGGAATCAGTAAGTTGATATTTCTGGGAGGACAAGTTACTCTCTGGCTGTACCGCGATCTGAGAGAGTGGGGTCGGGACGTACGTAGGCGTCGACGTCTTGGCCTTCTGCGAGGTCCTGCTGGATGCCATTTTGTGACGTCTCCTTGCCAGTGCGATCTGTGCGATTGGAGTAGGCACGTACTGTACTGGACCGTCTTTTGGGATGACATCTTGCGTAGTAGTGGAAGGAACAGCAGGTGACGGAGGTGCAACTGGGGTTGGGGTTGCCACGACAAACTTACTGACATCGGCTGTCTGGGGGTAGACATCGTCGATGCTTCCTGGGGGCCTGCTGGGTTGAGGCCTCTCGGTTTCTATGATGAAATACAAACAAAAGTCAACCAGCATCAAGATTGTGTTACCAGCATTTGTGACTGCATCCTCTGAAATACAAATGAGGACGTGTAAGCAATCTTAGTGTTTGTATATATTTTTCTCAGAAATTACATTAGTTTAGAGGAAAAGTCAATTGTGTCGGAGCAGGTAGTCTAAATGTAACTGTAAGCAATCACATCTGATATACAAACAAAATTTTTTCAAAATCCGGAGTCGCAGGTTAGAAAAAAGAAAGAAAATAGAAGACAAAAAATGCTGTGAAGTTGGTTTCAAAATCAATGCGTCTTGGGGTTGTAAGACACCTGCGTATCAGTCTGTTGGTGTCGAGTTCATTACGTCTGGCCACAAGTAAATCACTAGTCCACTCGCAAGTTTTGGTCTCAATTCACAGCGGATGACCATGTAAAATAAGTGTCTTCATCACAGCTTGTAGCTTGACTTGAGACTGGAGGACTTGTGATAGACTCTACAACACTGCTATAATGACCATTTTACAGGAAATACATCTGAAGTTTTTGTTTTAAAATCCATTTTTTTTAAAAACTGAATACTTTGCTCGAGTTATAAACAGCGATTATTTTTACAGTCCAGCGTTAATCCAAGAGTCTTTGTCATGCGGACTTAAGTCTGATCGAGTTGCTCAAGTTGAATCAAGAGTCAGTCATGTCTGGAAACAGGCAGTGTCATACATGTACAAAGTGGGAAATGTGTAAATCAAAAATATCTCAGGGATTTGGGAATTTTTAATCAATACATTTTAAAATCATTAACTCTGCGAAAGTTTTTAAGTTTTTTGGCTCATGTATTGTACATTGTTTGTAACATGTTAGAATGAACAATGACACTTGTTTATTCTTACAATGCCTTTTTTTTAATATGGCTCTTTGTAAAAATGTTGATTTTTCTGATGGTCATGCAAGCATGGACGAGCATCAACCGACTTCATTCTCCCAACACCGAAGAACTACCGGGCTGCAAGTGAAATTAAAACCATTGGGGAAATGTCTTTGAAATGTTTTTTTTGATGAGCATTTTTGTAGCTCTGCAAAATAATGTTAGAAGGGGCAAAGGTGTACAGGGAGGAATGGGGCAGGACGGTTGAAACCTACAGGGCCAGGGGCCCACACAGGCAACCAGTTCAGCATTTTCCACGTTTTCATCTCTCAAAGTCTCTATTTTGTTTACAAGTATTTAAGCAAATTCACCAAGCTTTTACCCAACATGCTGTGTTATGCATGAACTTCTTGTAGTCCCTTAAGTATTGTGTACTATAAGAATTCTGTCATACAGTGCAGTAATAAAAAGTATTGCATCAGATCATTATAATCAAAGAAAGAGCATTTGAATATTGGATAAATTTGGATTTTTTTACCCCCTGACCTCCATTCAACGAAATGTTTGCAGCAAACAGTTAAGAATTTTGCTGTTCGCCCAAATGATTGTTGCTCTTTGATGTGGTTTCTTTTTTTTTACCGGTATTTAAAAGTCCCTATGCCTTTCAGAAAGACTCTGGGCTTTAAAAAAAAATTCCAAATTAAGTATATAATGTACATGTACTTTTAAAAAAAAATTGGAAGGTGATTTCTATGTGTCATCTGCTCTTTACAAAATGGTCTATAGTGCGAGTTTTAAGTGTAGTATAACCATTTCTCTTTTGGGGGGGGGGGGGGTTGAGAGGGTAAGAGTCCGTGAACCTCAATATGTTAATTTCTTTTTTGTGGCTAGTGGGTTGGTGAACAAAACTGTATTGTGCTGATCTTTTAAAATGTATATACATGTATAAACCGGTCTTGTGTGCTTTGTCCTTAAATGCCAATTGATGTGTGAAGGGGCGAACAGCAGAAAACAAATTCCTCGTCCCAAATCGTTAGGACCAACTATAGTGCTGCCAAGTTGTCCAGTATTCCTGCATTAGGGTCGCCTGATGGCTGGCTACCAACCGATCAACAGCCTCCGCGTCGCATCACAAAAACATTGCATCACGCATGCCTGGACGTCTAGTCATTGAGTGATTTTGAGGGAAATCTGGATAAAGTTTGCCTAAACCGACTGCAGGATTTTTAAAAGATAACTGGACGTCCAGAGCCTGATGTAAGGGATTTGATTTTTCCTGCTTTTTAACCAGGTTTATAAGTAGCTTCCACAGTGGATATCAAGTGGAAATTGTCTAGATTGAAATTCAGCGCACAAAGCCTTTCAGGAAATTTTGAACGCATCACTGTGAGGCTCACAATACGGATGAAGTCCAGGATTTCAGTTGTATGGGGCTATAACGCACGGTTGAGGCAGAACAAAGGCATTTTCATGTGGGGGGGGGGGGCAAAGCTACATTGCTGACATTAGGCCTGTATCAAGTTCCTGTCTGACGCAAACTGACGAACCATCTCATGCAGAGAGCGTACCACCAGCTGCAAATAAAAAAAGGGGGTGGGGTGTGCTGAACATTATGCTGTTCAGTGACACCAAGTGACACTGCATGGCGCTATTCATGACAACTTCATAAAAAGGATAAGATAAGTTGTTTGCGGTAACATCATGTGGTAAATCTCTTTTGTGAGTATGTGTGGTTCTGATTAGAACCGGAGGGAACTCAACGTTTTGGACAGTAGCTCTGCCCGTCGTCAGGAGACTGAGGGATTCCAACGGTAGAGCAGAGTTATATGGTGCCTGGAAGCGGTGAAGTGTGAGAAGGATGCAAACCAAGGGTACTCATGCAGGACATAGGGGATGCTGGATGATCATTGAGGCGTGTCAGTCTGAAGGAAGGGAGCAAAGGGGAAGGTTGCCGAGGGTATAGGGGACCCATAGGCTGGAGAACTAAGTTTTCCTAGGGTATAGGAGACCCATTGGAATGGGAGGTGAGGATGGGGTGCCAGATGTCGCTGATGGAGAAACCGATGTCTTGGGGAACCATGTTCTGTTTGAGGATTTCAATGGCTTCTCTGATGTGGCGGGGGTGCCAGCGTTCGATACTGGTGATGAGATCGGCCTGGCTCCAGTTGATCTGGTGGTCCTCGGTGTGGGAGTGTTTGACGATGGATGATTTCTCAAAGTCTCCCCTTCTGCCATGGGCTTTGTGTTCATCAAGTCTGGTGGGGAGGCCCCTGTCTGTCTCCCCCATGTACACTTTGCCACATTGACAGGGGATCCTGTGCACTCCAGGCCTGCGCTCTGTATCTGACTGGTCCTTGTGCGAAGTCAGCAGATTCTGGATCTTCAGGGGGGCTGTGTGGATTCCATACTTGTGGAGGATGCGCTGATGTGATGTGAAGTACTACATGTACCTAAGTGGGAGAGGGTAATGGAACTAGGTGCCCTAACTAGTTGGTTTTGGGCGTAGGCGACCCTTTGGCCGTTGGTGATTCTGGTGTCTTGTCTCAACTTGGCTTTGCTTGTATCTGTCAGAACCACACATACTCACAAAAGAGATAAACCACATGGATGGTGCTTCCGCAAAAAAGAAGTTATCTCATTACCTTTTCTCTGCGCAAACCTTCAAAGCATGTCAAGAGGAATCAGCCAAATATGCAATTTGCAAATAGAATTTGCAATCTTTTGACGTTTGACCTGTGTTGGTCGACAGTTCGTTTGCTGATAATGCTGATATAGGCTAAACTGCCGTATGAAAAATGATTGCTAGCTTGCCCCCCCCCCCCCCCCCCCCCCCCCCGGCGCCCTTTGCTACACCCTAGAATAATGGCGAGTCCTGTAATTCGATACACCAGGATTGTCAAGAAAGGATCCATGGGATATGCATGATTTGTGCAGTCAACACCTCCTACTCTAGCTCTACTGAGTGGAGCGTTGAATTACGGGTACCCCTCCATACAAACGCTCCACCGATTTGCCATACTTTGGTAGCACCATACACGGTCGTCATGACGGTATGCATTTTGTGCATGCCCTCGCGAGGACAAGGCCCCAAAAAACTGATAAAGAAAATACAAATGAGGAAGACAGTAACCCTGGATAAATCCACACATTCATGACATTCCATATGACCCCTCAAATTGTTTCAAACAACCGGTAATTTTGAAAAAAGAACAAAATAGTCTGAACTTACCGCTCACAATTAAATGTGTCTGCCGAGTTGCACAGTCTATTTCACTGACATGACTGATGCATAATTCATTGCGCGCGTGTGTGACGTCACTATTGAAGAAAAACAAGTTGCGCTTACTCAATAGCTGTTTTATGTAGTCATATGTGCCCCGCGCCGTCTGACTGTGGGTTTTTGGTGCGGGGCACATATCAGTACATGCAACAGTCATTGATTAAGCGCGACTTGTTTTTCTTCAATAGTGACGTCACACACGCGCGCAATGAATTATGCATCAGTCATGTCAGTGAAATAGACTGTGCAACTCGGCAGACACATTTAATTGTGAGCGGTAAGTTCAGACTATTTTGTTCTTTTTTCAAAATTACCGGTTGTTTGAAACAATTTGAGGGGTCATATGGAATGTCATGAATGTGTGGATCTATCCAGGGTTACTGTCTTCCTCATTTGTATTTTCTTTATCAGTTTTTTGGGGCCTTGTCCTCGCGAGGGCATGCACAAAATGCATACCGTCATGACGACCGTGTATGGTGCTACCAAAGTATGGCAAATCGGTGGAGCGTTTGTATGGAGGGGTACCCGTAATTCAACGCTCCACTCAGTAGAGCTACTCCTACTCCTAGTCCTAGCCTAGTTACATTTACAAGCACACAAAATAATGAAAATTCACACATCTTTATTCCCAATCTGTAAGAAAATCCAAGTAACACAGTGTGTTACCGTCTACAAATATAAAACAATGGCAATGTTTCAGTGTTGTTGGCTAGATGCTGGATCCCCTACCTGTTCGACTAGTGCTACGGATGTGTCGAAAATGGCAATAGGGTCTGCGACAAACGCCATTGCCCAGCGCGTAAAATGGGCAATTCAGACCCCGGAAATTGCCACAACTTGTGAACATAATGCACAGTCTAATTCATCGACAATGATATGCCACTTTGTTTGAACTTGAGACATGCCCCGCCTAGCATAAGCTACTTCGTTAGGAAGCGAAAAGTGTCAATCTATGTTGTTAGGCCTTTTGTTTACAGAAAGGACTGTCATCTTTTTACTGTCACTTTGTCAGTGCGCGAACAAAAGTGCGACGTGCTTCGAGGGCGCCATCTCTTGACCGTATACACTTTCCTTTTACGCTCGACTAGACTTGTCTCGAGTCGGACTGTCGCCTTAATTCGAAACGTCACTGTAGATGTGCACTCTTTTTCTGCTCGACTTTCTTCATGACTTCTAAAAGAACCGATAAAATGTCTATGAAATGTCGTCTATTCTTATCATTTTTCATAATGTACGACATGGGCGTCGCCAGGATTGTTTCCGGGGGGGGGGGGGGGGGGGGGGGGGGGGGGGGGGGCAAAGCACATTTCCCCCAAATGTTTTAACTTTTTCAACATAATCTCAGTTTAGGCCAAATAAAAAAAAACCATAGCATCTCCGCCCCCCCTTCCTTTTTGGAGGCATCCTCCTTTTTCTTTTTTAACCCCAAAAATGATAAATTTTAAACAGTGACATCATTTTGTCCTCTTTATCTGTTGCATCTAGCCCATATAAAGCTGGTATGTCAATTCCTGAGTCCAAGTGGTGGCCATTTAAAAAAAGCTGGGGACCATCTTGAAAATAGCCGGGTCGGGCGGCCATTTTGGAAGGGAAAAAAAAGGACGCTATAAACATTTTTTTTTTTTACTTATCATTCTCCAAGCGTAGGCAGGACACATTTGCCCTACCCCCCCCCCCCCCCCGGGGCCCCCATCAAATTAACAGCAATATGGCTTTGCACCTCTTGTTCCTCCCCCCCCCCCCTTATTTTTTTCGAGGGATACAAGAATATATTGCACTCGCTATGACAATATTGCACTTGTCTTCAACTAGTATCACATTGTTATAGCTCATGCAATATTTCTTGTACGCCCCTGAAATCCATCCAATATTATAAAATTATCCTAGAAAGGTGAAAAGCTGAATTAAATGTAACCGGTTGGGTTGGGCGTACTTACGCCTTGATCAGAGTCTACACCTTAACACGCGTGAACTTTAAATACTTGACCCGAGGTCATCTGGGTTTCCCGCCACCACTCACATGTCATTGATACGTACAAAAACAAGCACAAGGTATAGTCGCATGTGATAAAGTTGGACTAGCGTTTGTGCATGTTGGCTTACGGTTTAGGTTGAATATTTCCAGCATTTAGAAGAAAATCAACCCACCAGTACTTTTGAATATTAAAGTTAGTGTGTTCAGTGTGATCTTGAGAACATATTGAGCTGCAGACATGTGGATTCAAGTCCGTTCGTTTGATGGTCAAAAGTCCATCCGCGTCGACGACTTGTCCAAGTTGACGAAAATCGAGGAGCTGCGACCGAAACTGGTGGCTCCGTTTGACGCCCCTGAAGAACGACAGCGTCTGTTTTATCGAGGAAAACAGGTATATCACGGGAAGGGGACAACTGATAACGGCAAATACAGGCCCGAATTGCTAGGGAAAAAATGGTTTAGGCATGTAATTTGTAAAGGCTGGTGTAGGCTGCATGGCACTTTAAAAAATAAATATTTTTAGAAAATTGTACATGTTGTGCCCATTCTTGAAAATCACGCATTCTCGAGAATGGGCATGCACATTCTCGAGAATGGGCGCGCATTCTTAAGAATGAGCGCCCATTCTTAAGAACGAGCACGCGTTCTTAAGAATGAGCGCTCATTCTTAAGATTGGGTGGGAATATCACGTGCACAATTTATGAATTTTGCCCAATCTTAACAAACATTGCACGACATAATTATGTTAAATGAATTGTATAGCGGTTAAAAGGGAAACAATTCATATAAAGAGGAAAGAAAATGTTCTATGCTTAAGTACTCGTATAACTACGATAATTTGAATCATATTAAACCTGTTATTATTGCTTTTTTCTGCCCACTATGGGAAGTTTTGTAATAACGGAGGACTGGGAACTAGTCTGGGAAGTGCTTTGTTTAGGCTAGACAAGTTACAAGTCCCTGCATGTATCATATGCGTGCCACGAAAAAAAAAAACGATGTCCAGAAGCTGCCAAAATTGCCCTTTTGACTAGATAGAATCCAGCTCTGCGACGTTATGGTGGGATGTGAACAATAAATTGGTGGCAATTTAAATGGGAAATAGCATTAGCACTATGGGATGTTGCAGTATTCATTTCATTCTTCACATTATTCATTCTTGCGTGTCCCCCCCCCCCCCCCCCCCCCCCCCGCTTTTATTATCCCAAAAATCAGAATTCTTTGCACTAGTATTATTATGTCTCTTATTTTTTCCCGGTCCCCCCCCCCCCCCCATATCAATACGCCTTTACTTATCATATCCACTCTACTTTTCAGCGCCTTGCGTTGCAACAGTATAATTATTGAGAATCAGTGAACGAGGATTCAGCTAGACTTGCCAAGCGCAGCCGGTGCTCGGCATCGACAAGACCGTTATCTTGTCGCGCATTCTCAAGAATGTGCGCTCAATCTGGAAGAGTTATTTTTTGCCAAGATTAAGCAAGATTAAGCACATTCTCAAGAATGTGCATGCCCATTCTCGAGAATGCGTGATTTTCAAGAATGGGCACAACATACATAAGTCACAGCACGTGTGGCCCTGAAATTGTGCATGCTGTGGGCCGCGCGCAGTGGGCCGCAATGAAGTTGTGTTTCTTGCAGGCACGGTATACATACCTAACTCATTGTCAACATGCATGGTGAAGGGATTGAAAGGATTGTACAGAATTATTTTGGTAATCCTTACTTTTAGGACACCTCTATTTTGTACGAGTGCTGTTCAAAACTGTCTTTTACAGATGACTGTCCAGTACCAAAGTGACTTTTGCAGGCTAAAGAAGTCTTTTCTCTTCAGACAAACTCATGTTAGCTATCATTTTGCAAGCCCTTTCAAAGAAAATGTGACTTTCCTACCTTTTTTTGCAGTTCGCCATCTTGCTTTTTTAATATATTTTCTGTTTGTCATCGTTGTCTTTAACCCCTCATAAATCAAAACCCTGCCCTCTTTCTACAAAATCAAACCTGCTGATATTCAAGAGGTGTCATTGCCAAATGTTCAAATGTGTCAAGAAATATCAGAATGTCACTTTTGAGTGTCATTTAGTCAGCTGTTTTGGTGAGTCTTTTAACCTTATATAGGAAAGGGGTCCTAAAAGTAAGGATTACCATTATTTTAGCGTACACATGTATACATGATGTGTGGGGGTGTGGTTTGCATCTTTTCCTGCCCATTTCCATTAATTTGTTGTGCTGCCTAATAAAAAATTTGGAAAAAATGTTGCAACCTGACGCCATTTTTTTCTTCATATATCATCTCAATGAAAGTCAGTCATTGCAAAAATGATAAGACATGAATCTGGGACTGAGAAACAATTCCAATTTTGTAAGGAAATACTAACAAATATTTCTTGACTCTCCATAGACTTTGTACACAACCGCTGAAGTGGCGTCATTATTTTTTCCAAATATTTTCCTTTCGAATCTTGTTAATTAAAAAAAATTAAAAAGGCAAATTGCAATTTTGAAAAAGTTGTTGCAGTTTACTTCATTGTAAGATATTGATTATAATATTGATATTTAAATATTTTTTTTTATGATTAGGCTTATGTTATATTAGGCCAATTATTACAAACAAAACAAACCTTTCTTGTCTCCACAAACAGTTTCTCATCCACGCCCACTTCCCTTCCCCCCACCTTGTTTTCATGCAGGCTCAATATCTCGTAGAAAGGGCGATGGCTCCTTTGGACTCAAAAAGTGTTGGCAAAAGCATCGCGAAAATGAATGAGTCCATCTGCCATCTTAGGAAAATAAAAAGCCGCCTCCCTCTTTTTTTTTCTCAAAATGCCAGGATCAGAAACTATTTTGTTTTATTTGGCCATAGTTCACATGGACTGCTTTGTTTGAGTGTCTTTATGTTAATTCTTTTTGTCTTCTAGTTGGTGGATGGACAGACATTGTTCGACTACAACGTTGGCCGAAATGACATCATTCAGATTATGATCAAAGCAGCCTCTGTGGCTACACCAGCTACCACATCTGATGGGGAGCCAGCTAGCCGTAGCAAACCAGACAGTGGGTTTGTGTCGGAGACCAGTGATTCCGAACATTCCACTGTTGGCAGCAACTTGAGCGACGCATGTAATGATGATGATAAGCCGTCCACCAGCAGACAAGACCAATTTACGGGCACCTATCAGGTACATGTATTAGTGGGCCACGGTGTGGAACTTAGCGGGCCACATCATGGGGCTTAGTGGGCCACGGTGTGGGCCTTAGCGGGCGATGGTGTGTGCCTTAGCGGGCCACAGTGTGGGCCTTAGCGGGCCACGGTGTGGGCCTTAGCGGGCCATGGTGTGGGCTTTAGTGGGCCACGGTGTGCCTGCAGCACGGTGTGGGCCTTGGCGGACCACGGTGTGAGCCATAGCTGGCCACGGTGTGGGCCTTAGCAGGCCACAGTGTGCACCTTAGCGGGCCACGGTGTGAGCCTTAGCTGGCCACGGTGTGGGCCTTAGCAGGCCACAGTGTGCACCTTAGCGGGCCACGGTGTGAGCCTTAGCGGGCCACAGTGTGGGCCTTAGCAGGCCAAGGTGTGGGCCTTAGCCGGCCATGGTGTGGGCCGTAGTGGGTGAACGGTGTGGTCCTTAGGGGGCCACGTTGTGAGCTTTAATAGGCCGCGGTGTGAGCCCTAGCAGGCCACCGTGTGAGCCGGTTTGGAGAAAAGTGGTGTTAAAATCAACATAAGTACCCGAACCCTTTAACTTCAGTTAAAAAAGTGACAAGGCCAAAAACTTTTCCGTCTTCTGTGTATGATCTTCTACCCCTTTTCCTAAAACCAGAGCCACATGCCCTAACAGAAGGGTATATTAACATTAGAAAGAATATTGCCACCTAGCGCCGCTTCACTGGTTGTGTACAAAGTCTATGGAGAGTCAAGAACATTTTTCTATGTATTTCCTAACAAAATTGGAAATGTTTCTCAGTCCGAGATTCATGTCTTATCATCATTTTTGCAATGAATGACCTTCATTGAGATGATATATGAAGAAAAAAGTGGTGTCAGGTTACAACATTCTTTCCTTGACATTAAATTTTTACAACTAACATACATTTTAATTTGTGTCAATTTTTGTATTTTAGGTTGGTGATTTGATTGACGCTTTGGACTTGAGCATCGGAGCCTGGTTTGAAGCCGATATTGTCAAGGTTACCCAGGCCGTGACGACCGAAGAAGCACAACCCAACAACTCAGCCTGCAAAGACGACGTTGCTAAAGACTCTGACGTGGATGCTAACCACAATATCAAAGACGTCTCTGTCAATGGCCATGACGCTGAGAAAACCACCACAGAAACTAACGGGAGGTTGCAGGGCTTTCAAGAAGATGATGTTGTCGCCATGGAAACAGGAGAACTAGTGAACGGGAAGGATGCCGTTCCGGTCGTTAATGGTGTTAGTGACGCTCTTGCCACAGACATTCAGGAAGACCCTTCGGTCAAGCCAGCCATCTCGGACAGCGCAGTATGTGATGGTAAAACATCCACAAAAGAGCAGACTTCTACAGATGCCGGCAGCGACGGATTTATCTATCACGTGAAATTTGAAGGGTAAATAAGTATGCCTGAATCTTCACTTTCCGATAGCCTGAATGATACAGTTGTTAGAAGATTACCTGCATGCATAATTATGGAACAAACTACTCTTTTTCTTTCAGGGATGTAGTCGAAATGGGGATAGATGTTGTCAAAATCCAAATCCTTCAAACAAAGTTTTGGATGATTTAGCAGAAATTTTAAGTTGAATTTACAGCCCAGCCACCTAGTTGGGATTTTGTGGCCCTTAACAATTTAAGTGCAAAGAGTATGCTCATGGGTTCTCACAAATGGAGGATTTTCAAAGTGTGTCTACCATTGTTGATGACATGAATTTTGCTTCGCACTTGCTTTTGCGTGAAGTAAGAACCATGCTTAACCCTAACCCCCTAGGCCCTTGCTGCTTACAACCATCCTCAATCCTCCAAAATCCTCCAAAATTTTCCAAAATTTTGCAACTCCGCCTAAATTTTTCAAAATTGTCAGACAGTCCTGCCTCAAAATGCATTCATCCTCAATCCTCCAAAATCCTCCTCATCCCAAAACTTTGCTCTCATGTTTAAATGAAGGATAACCAACGCCAAATCCTTCAAAATCATCAGACAGTCCTGCCTCAAAATGCATTCATCCTCAATCCTCCAAAATCCTCTTGTGCTTCAATCACCATTCATCCTCAATCCTCCAAAATCCTCATGTGCTTCAATCACCATTCATCCTCAATCCTCCAGAATCCTCATTTGATTCAATCACCATTCATCCTCAATCCTCTAGAATCCTCCAAAACCGCCAGGAGGATTTTGGAGGATTGAGGTGGGTTAGGGTTAAGGGATTGTTCCCAACAAAAGAAGACAAAGCAAACCCAGTAAAAGTGATCCCAAAGATACACAATTTCACTCGATCTATTCAGAATGCTTTTCACTGGAAGTCTTGTTCATGCGTCCAGTATAAGCAATGTGCCAAAATTAGCCCATCCTATACAATAGCACTGCCCAGTTTGGGAGGATTGATGATGAATGGAGTTTTTAAAAAACATGAGGATTTTGGAGGATTGAGGATGAATGGTGTTTGAAGAGGAGGAGGATTTTGGAGGATTGAAGATGAATGCATTTTAAGAGGTAGGACTGTCTGACGATTTTGAAGGATTGAGGCGTTGGGTATCCTTCATTTGAGCGTAAGTGCAAAATTTTGGAGGATTAAGGATGGTTTCTAGCAAAAAGGCCCTAGAGGGTTAGGGAGTTAAAGTTTATGATGCATTTGTGGTTGTACTTTCAGGTATGAAGATCAAGGTATACTGGAGCTACCTAGTAAGTACCTGAGGCCGCGCGCCCGCACCATGATTGATTACGATGACGTCAATGTCCACGATGTTGTCATGGTCAACTACAACCCCGACGAACCCAAGGAAAGGGGATTCTGGTACGATGTAGAGGTCACTGACAAGGTAAAATTTACGGAAAAAATAGAAAAATACAAACAAAAAAGTGAGGAACATTATTTGGCAAGAAAAGAAGTAAAGTCCGTCGTAAGCCAATGTGACCCATCAGGCTGGCGTTTATCTCCGGTTTCAGTAGCATGAAACGACTGAGAATATTTCCATGCCTTCTTGACGGCATGCTAGTCCATCGCAGGTTACTCCCCAGCTAATGCCGGTACCAATTTATACTCCTGGGTGGAGAGAGGCAAGTGGGGGTGAAGTGGCATGCCCAAGGACACAACATTAGGCCAGCAGCTGGATTCAAACCCCTGGCCCTTTGATCGTGAGTCACAAACCCTAACCACTGGGGCACACTCTCCCAAGACACAAGTTAAAAAAAAGTAGTGTGGTCATGCGTACATACGATTGTTTGGACCAGGTCATTTGTACAATTCCATGTCAAAACTAGCATCCCGCTGAAAATGTAACAACATTTTTACTTTAACATATAATCGTTTAACGTCCTAACTAAGTTTATGGCTAATGTCATGTAAGCAACTTCTATTTACATGCAACTTTTTCGGGCAGGCACTTTTTAAGTATGTGTAAGTTTCAAAGAATTCTGGTACACTATACCCTTTAATAGGTTTTCGCATCAGTTGAATGCCATATTTCTTCCAGTGTGTATCTCATATCATGTGGGTTCATTACATTCCTGGCATAATCGAACTATTTATAGAACAAGTCCATGCAAACCACTGATAATAAAATAACTTTAAAAAGTTGTACATTTCATACTGATATGGCATCTTGATCGCTGTGAAAATGGGTCGTTCCATAAATTTGGGGTCCAATTTTGTTTATGTCACTGTAACCTCTGATTTAAGATTTTGTAAATTGAGGACACATTCTTTCACCCTAACAGAACTCAATCCATCAAACCTCAACGGCATGTTTTGTTGGAATATGTCAGGATGGGTACAGTACCCCTAAACTGACAGTCTTTTACATTGGGTCGGCACACCTCCAGAATCAAAGTTAGAAATATGTGTGTGCAGGTTCCCATATGGTGTTGGAATTTGCCAGGATTGGTGTGGTTCCGAGTAAATCATGCTAGGGAGTTAGGGTTAATCCTAACGTACATGAATCCATCAAAATTCGCACCCCTGTTTTAGAGGATTTCGGCGGATTCAGGATACCTCCATATTGAGCAGTTGGGGGACTTTAATGGATTCAGAATCTCAATAGTTTAACTTCTTGGCTATATGTTTGGTGTGTACGAGGTATATGTACTACACTGGTGGATTCTGATGGACTCACTGGTGGATTCTGATGGACTCACTGGTGGATTCTGATGGACTCACTGGTGGATTCTGATGGACTCACTGGTGGATTCTGATGGACTCACTGGTGGATTCTGATGGGCTCACTGGTGGATTCTGATGGGCTCACTGGTGGATTCTGATGGACTCACTGGTGGATTCTGATGGACTCACTGGTGGATTCTGATGGGCTCACTGGTGGATTCTGATGGGCTCACTGGTGGATTCTGATGGGCTCAGGACACCAACATTTGTTCGCATTACAAAAATGGTGGATTTTCATATTCCGTGTCTCGGCAGAAAATGACAAGAACTTACAAGGAGCTGATCGGCAGCATAAGACTCGGGATCGACGCTGACGTACTGAAGGACTGCCGCATCCGACTGACGGACGAAATCTTCAAGATTGAGAAACCCGGAGAGGTGACGTGCGACCCCGCATTACTCACCGGAGAAAACTCACCTGTGAAAAGTACGATTTAATTGTATTGTATTTCAATATCAGGTTGATGTTTGTTTCTCATTTTTTAGCTGCGGGATAGCAGCTCAACAAATTTTCATGTCTCTCCGTTAGTCCATTAGTTAGTTAGTAACGAACGTTGACATTGTTAATTGCTCGTACATACGTTGACCGATTTCTACCAAACTTTGTCAAAATATCAGTATCCCAGCCTGACATGTCACATGACCAAACTGGGGTCAAAGGTCATCATGGGGTCACTGGGGTCAAACTTTTTTTTTAATCAAAACACTACTCTTTCCAGAAATTGCATGGCACAATCACGTGACTCGTGGCCCGCAGCTTCCGAATTGTTTCCAATCGAGCTTGTTTTTTTTTATCACCTGTGAACAAAGATATTGACAAACTGAAGAACCGCTAAATCAGGGCTGGATAGCTCATTTGGCATAGACCAATCCAGACACGTTATCAGTTCTGTCGCGAAGGCCCCCTTCAATGGCGAAAGCATTGTGCTAGCTATTGTTCAGATAATCTGTCACAGGGCAGTTGTTGTCTATAATAGCATGCACACATGGTTTCTCCATTGAAGGGGGCCTCGTATTTGTACACCGGTACATTGTCTTGGGGTCGCAGGTTCAAACCCCGCTCCAGTCAACTTCTTTGTTTTCAACTTTGTAAGTGTTTACTTTCTGTTTCTCCAATTTGGCAACAGGATCCAACAAGGCGGAATGTGCGTACTGCAAGGACAACCCGCGGCGTAAATGTAAGCACTGCGCGTGCCACGTGTGTGGCGGTAAGGACGACCCGGACAGACAACTCCTGTGTGATGAATGTGATATGGCCTTCCATCTTGTCTGCCTGGACCCGCCGCTGGCTGAAATCCCCGATGTCGAAGAGTGGTAAGTATTGCGGTTGTAGTAGCTTCTTTCAGGGTGTTATCTTGGGTTGTATTTTTTTTGTATGGGAATGCAATCTCACGCTCCGTTCTTAGAAATGGCCTAGAACATAGATAGCAAACTAACGCCATGGTCCAGTGGTTGTGGTGTTTGACTCATGTACCAAGGTGCGTGAGTTCGAACCCTGCCAGGAACATGGTGTTTGTGCCCTTGGGCAAGACACTTAACTACAATTGCCTCTCGCCACCTAGGAGTATGAATGGGTACCTGTGAGGGTCGAGGACCGATTGAGCGCTGATATCGGCTGCCGCGTGGTACCATGGCGTGATGAACGGGGTAATAATTGTACAGTGCTTTGAGATTGTTGATACGATGGAAAGCGCTATATAAGCACAATTATTAATTAATTAACCTGAAATTTGAGAACAAAACACTGTCGGAAAGTTGTCAATGTTTGTTTTCATTTGGACCATGTAACCGTTGGAACATGGCACTCCATATTGTACTTATAAAACAGTTCCATAGACAGCAAATTGGTAAATGTGTATGTTTGTGATGTCACTGCAGGTATTGCCCCCTGTGCAAGAACGATGCATCTCAAGTTGTCATGGCCGGAGAGAAACTCAAACACAGCAAGAAGAAAGCCAAGATGGCGTCGCAAAAAAACGACTGCAAACGGGACTGGGGAAAGGTGAGTGAACCAGTAGTCTGCAATTCCATCTAAAAACTAAAAACCGTGAAATTAAAAATGGGGACAAAAATATTTGAGTCACGTTTCTGTTTACGTACCTCCAATTGCAGGGAGAAGTGAGAATTCATATTTACTGAAAAATGCAACGTTTGATTCATGTTTGAAGAAGTTTGAGTTGTTTCTGGTTTCGAGGTGCATGGTTTAGAGGTGCATGGTTGTTCCTTATGTTTCCTTCATGTAGGGAATGGCTTGCCAAGGACGCACCAAGGTTTGCACCATCGTCCCACCCAATCACTTTGGAGAGATTCCTGGTATCCACGTCGGCCAATCCTGGAAGTTTAGAGTCCAGGTAAATAATCTCTTATCGACTTCAATTTTCTGGTTTCCAGTTTTGTAATTGGTATGTTAAATCTTAATGTTTTTTTTTAAATTCAATTACATTTATATACTTTTTAAAGAAAGTAGATGTGCCACTTTAAAGCAAATTACATATGTAAGGTCTTCTGTTTTGAAAAAATATCTGTATTAAATATTGCCAGTTTTGTTTTAAAAAAAAAGAAGACTTTTTTTCTATACAGTGGAACGTCGCTATTACGAACATCGCAGGATCCACAGAAATTGTTCGTAATAGCGATCGTTCGGTATAGGGATTTTAAGCCGATACTTACCAGCTTGTGGTTTTTCACACATTAGTGGCGCCCTCTTTTGACCATTGTTAAAAGCGTAGTGGCATTTACATACCATGCGCTGCGCTGATGCGCCAAACTTGTCCATTCATCTTTTCAATTCCGTAAGCAGAACTTCAGTCTGCACGCCCTGGTAGTTACTGAAAGACAACTTTGAACATGTGCGACTATTGAATCATCTAATTACACAGTTTTTGAGCTTACACTGGTGGCTTTCCCCTTCTATTCTTGGGAAGTTATAGCCATTTATCGCTCTTTTCTTGACATTTTCAACAACAATGTTTGGTACGTTTTGTACGCAAAAATCGGGGGGCTAAGGATGATGTTCGGTGTAGCGACGTTCCACTGTATTAACCCCATGCGCACGGGAAGCGGTCATGGCCGCGGCCGCTAATCCTCATTGGAATGCAGTTGCCAGCTGTGGTATGCCGTGGCACACCGTGGCACACCGTGGCACACCGTGGCACACCGTGGCACACCGTGGCACACCGTGGCACACCGTGTCACACCGTGGCACACCGTGGCACACCGTGGCACACCGTGGCACACCGTGGCACACCGTGGCACACCGTGGCACACCGTGGCACACCGTGGCACACCGTGGCACACCGTGGCAAACCGTGGCACACCGTGGCACACGGCTAGTGGGTAGTTCCACAGCTGCTGCTTTTGTGCAGTCCCGCTACCACACAAAAGCTGTGCAGTCATGCGGGCCACTTGCTCTATGTGTGGAGGAATGTCCCCATTACACCCCGTCCTTAAGGGGTTAACAGGCTGTTTGTTTTGAAATTGTAAAAAACATATTGGCACCAGTGTTTGCACTTTTCTTTTAAACTGTACCTCAAATTTCAGGCCAAAATATCAGAGTCCACAAGACATCCCTGAATTAAGTTTAGCTTGCTTTTTTGGAGAGGGTACCTATGCATGCAGTATACACCTACGCGACTTAATTAAAAAAAGAAAAAATGCATTGAATTGTGCAGGTGAGTGAGGCAGGAGTGCATCGCCCTCATGTGGCCGGTATCCATGGCAGGGAAGATGAAGGAGCCTACTCCATCGTCTTGGCAGGAGGCTATGAAGATGATGAGGTAGGTTTAGGCAATACGCAACACATGACGTATTACACGTACATAGGATCATTTGCTCTCTGCATTTTTTCCCACATGAAGCAACAAAATTGCTCAAAATATTAAGTAGAATGCATGCATGCAAACTAACCTGTTGACGTTTCAGCCCAGGGCCGGGGATACCATACATTTTGAGAAAACCTAGAGAAAACATGCACAATTTTTGGGTCCAGTAGGTGGATTTCGTTGGCAACGCATGTTAAAAAAGAGTTTCCCTGTTTCTAAAACCACCTTCAATGGTTACTTTCTATTGAATCATACCATTTCATCGAGCTACAAACTGGTCGGAGTGGTCCATCTCTTTCCAACACTATGCTCGACAGGGACAGTTGGGCCCAACTCATCAAATCATCATGAAAATGAATGAATGAAGAAGAAGAAGAGGCAGAAGTTCACTGGGTTTTTGGTACCTTCAATTAGTTGTATTCATGGTTATTTAAATTATCAATGTTCCTAAGTGCCATTAATTTGTGCATTGTATCATATTGTGTACAGGATAGAGGCAATGAGTTTCTATACACTGGCAGTGGAGGCAGGGATCTATCTGGTAACAAGCGCACAGCCGAACAGTCTATGGACCAGAAACTCACCAAGATGAACATGTAAGTCATTATGCAATTTGTCACAGTGTTGTAGTCGAGTCGATCTCAAGTTCGGTCACAAGTGAATCACTTGTCCATTTACAAGTCTGGTCATAAATAAACAGAGGATGAACAATACCAATACCTTTGTGACATCTCATTTGAATATCCTCTCACTTTCCTTAACCGTAACCTCTCCCAACCCATCAAACCCCAAAGGAATCTGTCAGGATGGGTACGGTACCCCTAAACTGACACAGTCTTTTACACTGGGTTGGCACACTCCCGAATCAAAGTCAGAAATATGTGAGTGCAGTTTCCCATATGGTGTTGGAATTTGCCATGATGGGTATAGTTCCTAGTAAATCATGCTGGGAGTTAGGGTTGAGGACTTGTGAGGACTTGTGATGGATACAACTACAACATTGTTTTGTCATATTCATGTTTTGTTGACATATCTTTTTGAGTCAGGATTTGGAACAAGCAGTAGCAATGTTATTCCTGTAGACTATCCCAACAGGATTTGATCCCTTTCCATGAATGTACACATTCAACTTGCAACTTTTCAGTTGCACGATGAAAAAAAAAAGAAAAAAAAAAAGGATTTTATTGCCAGGCCGACTTCTCGTAGATACTTGCCAAATTTTGGGACAATTTCTCACAACTTTATAAACCTAAATTGTTGTAGATTGGAGGAGGAAACATTTAAACAGTATTTCATCCAATGAGCACTGTTAGTGTTAAAGTAAGACCCTTTAGCACTATTAGCACTTGTATTACATTGTAATACAATGTAATACTTTGTATTTAGTCCCCAAAAAATCTATGAAACTGTACATTGTTGGGGTGGGTTTTGGGAGGTATGGGAAGTAACAGTCAGGGCGGCAGGGGCAGTACAGATGATGGGTTAATATTGTATTATTAATTTGAAAGTATTTTGTTGAAATTATTTGTTGCCTAGGGCTCTTGCACGAAACTGTAACGCATCATTGGACTCCAAGAAGGGCAACGAAGCCAAGGATTGGCGTGCTGGCAAGGCAGTCCGCGTCATCCGCAACTCCAAAGGCCGCAAACACTCCAAATATGCACCGGAGGAAGGCAACCGCTACGATGGCCTGTATAAGGTAATACTGTCATTGGATGTCTAAAAAATGGTGTGATAACCTCCATTGGTATTGTAATCGAAGGAGACAGTCCAAAAGATTGGTTAGGTTTTATTAACCACTTCGCGCCGGGATTATTTTTGCCGAAAGGGAAAATTTTTCAGCGAACTTCTGATATACAGCTAAACGCCACAAGTAATGATTCGCAAGAGTAAATTCAACAGTATTTGTACGATATTTCTTGCCAAAACCTTGTATGTTTCAATACTCCAGGGTTTGCACTGAAGCGTAAATTGTACAAATATAGGCCAATAGGTGTGTGTCCAAAAGGCATGAGGGATTAGCATGTTTAGACGTCACCTGGAGGCAAGTCGAGGCAGGAGGAGGACGTCTTAACCCGGCAGCTGTGCCTGTGTACAAAAACAGCCAGTGCGTGTTATCACGGCCTCTGGCGTGAACTGGTTCAATTACTCACAATTATGAGTATTTTCAGAACAGCTTCCACCCAGAAATTTGGTGATTTTTCGGAAAAGATTAGGAGTGAGACGTACTCTGTACTTTTGATCAGTGACGATGACTCAAATTCAAAGTGGAGTTTGTATGTCGTTCTCTTCTCCAGTTTATAAAAAAAAATCCGAAGTTGCAGGGTGGCAGGCACAAGAAAATGTATTAGTGCTACAGTCTTTATAATGGTGTACACATACCAAAACAAATGCAGGACAACAATTTTATTTGCGCAAGGGAACAGAAATTGTTAAACAGATAGGGAAAAACATCATTTTTTTATAACCAGAAAGCGACTTTGTAAGGACAAGTGATATTTTGGGTAGTTGTGAGGAAAGAGCCAGTATGTAAATTATGTTGTGATGACAAAATAACAGGACATTTTCACAGAAAAAAAAGATTTGTTCAAGGTATTGGATTCTAGAAGGCGTGAAATATAATTATCGTCATTTCCAATTAGCCCTTACCCTGTCAGATGCAACACAGTGCATCAGGTCCAAAAGTCTGTGGGACCTTGCTGCATTGAGCCAACAACACCAGTGCATCAACGGCCAATTCTAAAACAATGAGAGCTAGTCCCATTGAACAACGCCGCAGTTGTATGCTGCTTCATGCGGTGACCACGGACTCTGAGGCAGTTTGGCCTTGAGACTTTTTACAAGTCGTTTTGACAAGTGTTGCATGTTGCTGCGTTCAGCCGGGTTTCTAGCCAAAATATCCTACAGGGTTAGGGGTTAAGGTATGCATTTTAATGAATTGCATGTTTCATTTCGTGGAAACGTTTTGGTGCAGGTTGTGAAGTTCTGGTCGGAGACAGGGAGAAGTGGTTTCTTAGTGTGGAGGTACTTGCTGCGCCGAGATGACCCACAGGCTGCACCATGGTCCAAGGAAGGAGTCAAGCGAATTAAGGGGCTTGGTCTAAAACTCGAGGTATGCTTCATGTTGTCAAATCTTGTTATATGTTTACCAATAAATCATGTCCACATTTTTACTTGAAATTCCAATTCGTTGATAAACATTCTGTCAAGCCAATTTAAAGGTAAAATACATTGGCACATAATTTTTTTTTTTAAATACCAAATTATTATGAAATACCTTACATAAGTGTAAGTGAATAATAGTCTCAAGCATCCTGTGAAATCATGGCAACTGGTGTGCAGTCATTTAAAAAAAAGTGTTATTTTTGTTTCAATTTCGAGCGATGGTTGGCTGTCGTACTTGCAACAATTTGGAAATTCAAACTAGCTATCTAAAATGAGTGAGGCTGTATTTGAGCAATGAGGTTTGGCTAGTTTTGCTTTTATTTTATTTCTCCAAATATATTGATTATCCCTCCTATGCAAACATACACTATGTTGTCCTCTCAGTCAAATCAGTGAAGTGACTGTTTTGAACAGCTACGAGCTCCCTGCCTACGTAAAGCAGGATTGACTGACTGTGACTGTTAACATAACCTGATACAGCTATGCTTTGACTGTAGGTGATTGATAAGCCAGCTGTGCCTACCACTTGCCTGCTTTTGTCTGTATACTGAATTTGACTAGTCACAGTGCTTGCGTGAAACATGATCTGACTGTTGGTGACTAGCCTGTGTAAAAGGCATGGCAGGGGAAGATGATCAATTTTTGATTATCTGTGACTGGTCAAATAGCAGGAGGGCTAATCAGCCCTTCACCTTGCCTGTTGCCCCCTGTACTTGTCCCAAACTGCCCCAGTATTGTATGGTCTTATTGATTCATCAGTATTACATTGTTACATAGTGATGTATAGGTGCAAATGGGTTGTAATCGAGTGACTTTGCTTGTATCTGTCTTGGCAGTATCCTGACGGTTACCTGGAAGCAATGGCCGCCAAGGAGAAGGAGAAGGAAGCTGCCAATGGACACACGGAGTCTGAAGACACTGAGGAGGAGGGAGGGAAGAAACGAAAGAGCAAGGGCAAAGGCCGGAAGCGGAAACGAGATGGTAAGAAATCTTCTTTGACGTCTGGAATTTTGTCTTTTTTTCACGTTGACTGTGGAATAAATTGCCTTCATCAGGTGAAAGCAACCTGTCCGCCCCAAACCGCCCCAAACTTTGTTACTCCCTGTATCACCCAACATTTCCCCTCACTGTATTCATCATGGAATGAATACGGGGTTATTCCGTGTCAAATCACCCGGAAAAATTGAAAGTTTATACCCCGCCCCTTTCAAATTGGTTAATATTTAGTGTATGGGGTAATTTAGTCTGAAAGAGCTGACAGTTTTAGCGCCATTGGACCGACGGTTTTCGCGTTACCGCCTGCCGTTTTGTGGCAATTTTAGTCAAAATGGGCGTGACCGCCAATTTTCAAATGACCATATCTCAATAACCTGTGGGCCAAAGTAGTTAATCTTGGTTTCTTTGGAAAGGTTATATCATATGAAATTCAAATTTACCATTATTTTTCATGTCAAAGTGGTTTGAAGTATAGCCTTTTGACCTTGAATTTGATCTTGTGAATCATGTGACCTTGATTCGGACTTGGATGAAAATTATAGCCCAGCATGTTTCTATAAAATATCTAAAAATTGGGGGTTTTATTTTATTTTTTTTCGTTAAAAATGTACAATATGTTCCCCATAAAGTGAAATATCTGCGAGGATTCAGGATGGTTGGAAATAAAAAAGCTCAAATTCTTTACTTGTTGCAGAATCTGAGGATGAGGTCCCAGCCTCAAGCCCCAAGAAGACCAAAGTGGTGATCCCTGCTGACATGAAGAAGCGGATTAAGGAGGACGAAGTCAACAAGAAGGTGTGGGATGAGATCGCTAAGGAGATCAAGACGGGCAAGGTAAAGAAGCAAAACGGACCAAAATTGCAGAATGCTCGCACAAGTCTTGTTAAAGGCACAATGGGACATTTGCAATTACCTGGAAACGTATCTGCCAAATTAACGAGAAAAATTCCTTGTCCAAAGTGAAGATTAGTCTATGTATTAGACCCTTGCTCTTTGCTATGATCAGATTCGCTGATTAATTATGCAAGACAACAACCTCTTGACCTCAAGTTTCTGACCACTCAGCGGGGCGCTTTCTATATCGGGTCTTCGGTCATTCACCCGTTGTCGCGTCATAGACATTGATAAATAAAACCTAGACACGACAATAATATGCTGCGAATTGAGCAAACAAAGGCTGTGGTCACACGCTCTGTATAATGATACGCCTACGCCGTGCCAAGCTTGTCTAGGTTTTATAAACCTATGCCCGGCCGTTGTTGTATTACAAACACCACTGCATTCAAATTGACCAATCAAAACTTTATTCCAGTGATATGTCATCATCAAATGTCATGTATATGTGTACAGAACTATATGTTCGATTTGGTTGTAACTTGATATGTACGTATGCTATGCTGTGTTACAGATGACATTTGAAGTGACGTCATCAAGTGTTCATCACGCGCACAGAGCCATTTCAAATATCTGAAACAGCTTGCGTTTGTCCACAAACACATTTCTATTTCTCTTTTCTTCCAATCGCAGACATTCTTGAGTGCCGTGGAGGAGGCCTTTACTTGCATCTGTTGTCAAGAGGTGGTGTATCAGCCAATCACGATGTCTTGTCAACACAACATATGCAAGGTAAGACTCTCATGTCTTTCATGGTAAACATTTAACAATTATTGACTGCTTTGGTGTGGGATACAGTGTTTGTAACACCCGAGGGTCGCATAGCACCCCGAGGCCTCACAAGGGGATTAAAAACCACATATCCCACATCGCGGCAGTCGACAGTTGTTTTGTTATATATCGTGCCAATAAGTCAAAAAGAAAAAGGCTTGTAACTTACCAAGGAAGAAATATATTAAATCGCTGCATCGCTACCTTTGATAAATGTGAGCTTTCTTGCCGGACATGAGACTGAGCGGTTGCAGTTTCCAGTTATGAGGTGGCGTAGGCAGTCCCTACACGCGTGCGCACTGTTGAGGTAGTTTATATGCGACGCAGTGTATATGAGGTAGTTTATATGCGACGCAGTGTATATGAGGTAGTTTATATGCGACGCAGTGTATATGAGGTAGTTTATATGCAATGCAGTGTATATGAGGTAGTTTTTATGCGACGCAGTGTATATGAGGTAGTTTATATGCGACGCAATGTATACAAGGCAATTTATATGCGACGCAGTGTATATGAGGTAGTTTATATGCGAATCAGTGTATATGAGGTAGTTTATATGCGACGCAGTGTATATGAGGTAGTTTATATGCGACGCAGTGTATATGAGGTAGTTTATATGCGACGCAGTGTATATGAGGTAGTTTATATGCAACGCAGTGTATATGAGGTAGTTTATATGCGACGCAGTGTATATGAGGTAGTTTATATGCGACGCAGTGTATATGAGGTAGTTTATATGCAACGCAGTGTATATGAGGTAGTTTATATGCCATGCAGTGTATATGAAGTAGGTTTTATGCGACGCAGTGTATATGAGGTAGTTTATATGCGACGCAATGTATACAAGGCAATTTATATGCAACGCAGTGTATATGAGGTAGTTTATATGCGACGCAGTGTATATGAGGTAGTTTATATGCGACGCAGTGTATATGAGGTAGTTTATATGCGAAGCAGTGTATATGAGGTAGTTTATATGCGACGCAGTGTATATGAGGTAGTTTATATGCTACGCAGTGTATATGAGGTAGTTTATATGCGATGCAGTGTATATGAGGTAGTTTATATGCGATGCAGTGTGTATGAGGTAGTTTATATGCTATGCAGTGTATATGAGGTAGTTTTTATGCGACGCAGTGTATATGAAGTAGTTTAAATGCGACGCAGTGTATATGAGGTAGTTTATATGCGACGCAGTGTATATGAGGTAGTTTATATGCGACGCAGTGTGTATGAGGTACTTTATATGCTATGCAGTGTATATGAGGTAGTTTTTATGCGACGCAGTGTATATGAGGTAGTTTATATGCGACGCAGTGTATATGAGGTAGTTTATATGCGACGCAGTGTGTATGAGGTAGTTTATATGCTACGCAGTGTATATGAGGTAGTTCATATGCTACGCAGTGTATATGAGGTAGTTTATATGCGACGCAGTGTGTATGAGGTAGTTTATATGCTACGCAGTGTATATGAGGTAGTTTATATGAGACAGGGTATATATGAGGTAGTTTATATGCGACGCAGCGTATATGAAGTAAACAGTTATTTTTATCGACTGGACATGTGGCCGTTCTAGACCAATGAAATTGCAGTATCAATGACACGATATAACAGTTCAAAAATGGTGAAATTTTTTTGTGGTGATCTTCTCCCCATCAACAGAAGACAGAATCCTTCTATATTATGCTCATTTGAAATTCTTTCATGTGCTCGCTACAGTTGCAGCTACTTTTATTCCATCATAAATACCTCAGGCACGGATGAGCTCTTCATCCAGATTTTGACAATCCATGTCAACATTTTCCTGTGTGAGATTTAAACCGAGTCATACATTTACTTGAAATTTGTGTAATTGATGATGGTCTTGAATTTCTTAATTTCAGTCCTGTCTTCAGCGTTCTTTCAAGGCCAGCGTCTACCAGTGTCCGTATTGCCGTCACGAGCTGGGCAAAGGCTACAGTATGTCCTACAATAAGGAGCTACAGGCTATACTCAAGGAACTCTTCCCTGGCTATGAGGCAGGTCGCTAGATCCAAACAAAGATTCCTTATAATTCTTTTTTAATAAAGCTGCAAACTGTTGCTTGCGGGATAGGCTGCTGCAGAGTATTTAGATTTAATTTTTGCAAATGATGGGCTTATTATATAGTTTAGTGTTTTTCTGGATGCACAAATAAAAAACAAAAACAAAGAAAGCACAAAACAGATATGCATGCTTCTAGATTACGAAGACAACTGACTAATCTTAAAGATAAATGCAGTATTTTTCAAAAGGATAACTTCTTGGTTCTGAACTGAATTCCCTGTGTAAAATATTCGGTGTATTTGAATTCAGTCAGTACCGAGAACAAAAAGATTTTTTTGTAAGATGGAATTTGCGTCAGGGAGATTTATATTTTAAATTAGGTTTTTGCCCTTCGCCGGCATATTTTATAAATACTGTGTACTTGGTGTTGTCCGATGGCAAGTCCTCAGGGCGAGTCAGAATGATCTGGACCCAAATTAAAGAAACTATTAAAAATATGTAGCAATTAGCAAAACAAGTGCAAATGAGGTATGTTATGGGCTGGTATTTTGGACATATTTGGTGCAAGTTTCATGTATATCCATTATACCATTTTGAAGAAAAGCGCTAGCAAAGAACACACGCTAAAAACACTCCGACCACGGTTCCATGGTTCAACAAATTTATCAAAATCGCATACTGATGTGAAGCAGTTTAATAACAAATAAAAACCTAGTCATTGTGACTGACTCACTTGAAGTTATTGACACATTTAACAACGGCAAAACCAATTCCGTGTGCAGACTGGAAAATGAGCCACTTCAATGAAAATGGCATTACTCCACAGCACAGCCACTAATTTGAAAAATTCAAAATTCGTGTGGAAGACAAGTTAATAACCACTCATATGAAACACTCAGTGTTTTTTTTCTATTTACTCTATTTACCGAAAAAAAATAGGTGAACTTGGGTTCAGATCATTCTGACTTGCCCTATATACAGTGTTTAAAAACATACATTGGCGAAGGGCAAAAACCAAGTATAAAACAAAACGAGCGTGGGCATTTTTTAAATTGGACTTTAAATGTATTGACAAAGCCATGAGGTTGTTTCTGTCTGTCCATGGAAGATTCAACTGCAAATATTTATAGTGCTAATCAGATTTTGCACTGATTTTTAAAAACGCCTCGATCTTCTGAATGACCTGAATTTGGCCAGTGATGTGACAGCTCATGAATATGTATGATGTGGTTATTGGAAATGACATTACGCGGACACGGTCCAAAACGAACAGTGGGTAATACGTCAACTTGTATATTTGAGTTTTTCTATGCAAAGGTAGTCGATAGCTCACACTGACGTGTGGAATATCTTTTCGCTGGTTTTATTAAATAGATAGATGGATATATAGTAGGATGACATTGTAACATTCTGTTAGCTTTTGATATTTTTCATTTACTGTTATGCTACACAGAGCATTATTTAACTGTTTACTTCGGTCAGTCGGTGTTTTTGTAAAGTTACCTCAGTTTATAATAATAAAAAAAACAATGGACATGAAATGGTTTTTAAATAAAAATGCGAAATATAAATAAATCTGGTAATTAGTGCTTTAACATTTTATATTTGAAAATGACTTCTTGTACATATTTCTGCCATTAAGTATACTCAGATATGACATTTTTATTGTAAGGTGCCTTGTAATATTCTCTAAAATTGGAGTGGGCATGTACATAATTTTGCCAGTTACATTTGAACAACATCTGGTACACTGACTTGCTCGTAATGCTTGGCACATTGTAATTTTGAATTCTCCAGACCAAAGACACTGTTGCTAATCACATGATTCGGGGCAAGCTCTTGCATAGTTACGTAAGAGACGCTCAGCACCAATACATTGCTCACAATGGTTGAGAATTGCACAAAGGCATCAGACCATGCCAGAGCTGGGGGTTAATTGCTAGCATAAGGCTTGCCCCGAATCACGTGGTATAGCAACAGTCTCTTTGGTCTGGAGAATTCAAAGTTAAAATGTGCCAAGCATTCAAGCAAGTCAGGGTACAAGACGTCACTCGAATATAATTCGCAAATGGCTTATTGCGTGTCCTAGTTTGAATGTACTCACCCCTCTGATAATATGCTTTAACTTTGGGCTAGGTACATTTTCACCCATTCTGCACAAAAAGATAAGCCTCAATTATTGTAGGGTTGCAAATAAATTTGAAATTTGTTAGGTAACTATTCCATAATTAAACGTGGATGGATTTTGTGGTCGATGTCTCATTCAAAACTAGATAACTTTTGTATTGCTCAAAAAAAATTGCAATTCAGAAACAAAAATTATTTTCAGGTTAAAATCAGAAAATAGTACGGAGAGAGCAGCTTTTATTGACCCAACATAGTTGTGGAAGAAATGAGCAGTTTTCAAGTAACTGTTACATCAACTTTATATCCCGGTTTGCTACAAACGACCGTGTAGTTTGCTTTTCTGTCTCTTGAAAAATGGCTAAGTGACAACTCAAGTATATGGTGTGACCAACTGGCACAAAATTTAGTACTCGACATTTTATTTTTTTTTTCAAGATTTCACAAACCTAATATCAAACTATCGCAGACAGTGTAGGATATTACTAAGAGAAATATAGTCATCAGAATCTTCGTTCTTTCAATGTTAATGTCTCGGAAATTCACCGTTGCTGAGTTCACATTTTGTGGGGGCGGTCACATGAAAAGGACAATTTAGACAGTTTAAAGTTATGCACATTTTACTCGCATGTCCACGTTAATAAGAAATTTGGCATTTTAACACTGTTATTGTTCAGCTCCGCATGTAAATGTGATTTTGGTAACGTTAACATGAATTTTGTCTCATGATTGTTTCAAGATGCAGAGTTTTTGTGGAGTTTGATAAATTTGGTATAATGTTTTAAAGATAAGAAACTATAAAGGTAAATAAAGAGTTAATCGGATTTAAAAAAAAAATTAGATATAGTTTTGTACTGTGTCAATGTTGAAGTGGTTATTATTTCTCAAGATAATTCCACCAAATAAAAAAAAATCAAACTAGAGATCTATATCTGTTAACAACAGAACAAAGGGCTTTGCCGCATTATTATTATATTTTTCTTATCAATAACACGTCCCTGACTATGCATGTACAAAGTTTCAATCGAATCGGACCAATGGTTGTTATGTATATCTTAAAAATATACACCTTTAAGACTACGCCACAAGACCCATGATCACCTGCCAACAAAGTGCGCTCAAATATTGCATGACGTTACTGGTCAGATTTTGAAAAGCCCACCCTTGCCACAGACTAACATCGTTGAAAGCAAGTTTACCAGGGGTGTGAGTGGAGTCCAAAAAAAATAGCTGAAAATAGCTGAACCTGTAAATAACCGAACCTGCGAAAAATGCATGAACATGGCATCGTATACATGTACATGTAGTACACACGTACGTACAATGTACATGTACATGTACATGTACATGAACATTGAATACTCGCTTGCACGCACCCCAGAGCTACCGTGACGTGTATGTTGTACTAGAGCGGATCGCGTGCGTTCGGCGGCGGCGGCGGAAAATAAAATAAACGGAAATAAAATCAATGCTTACGCGCGGGCGAAAAAGCGAGGGGAAATTTTGACCATCGGAAGAAAAAAAACGGAAAACAAAATGTGGCACGCTGAACAAAAAAGCGGAAATCCGCTAAATAGCGGAGATTTCAAACCCCTGGTTTACATCTTTTACCAATTTGAAACTACAAGGCACTTCTTGTTTCAACCAGAAGAAAGGGTCACGTGATTTTGCAAATATTATTTAAAAAACATGACCCTGGATTATTCTATCCATTCCTGTCAAAAAGTAAAATAAGATCTCTCACAGTTGATTTAATATTGATTTTCAAAGATTAAATCTAGAAATATTTGGTTGCTTGTATTGCAATACTTGAAAGCATCGTGACGTCACTACCAGACAGCTGAAGAGCTATGCTTACTGTGCTATTTGAAGTAAATATCTGGATTATATCTCTCGCGGTTGATTTTTCTGCAATTTTTTAAGGTTTAAAGTCTTTTCATTGTAACTTCCTGTCTGGTGACGTCATCAATCTCCCCCCCCCCCACTTGTTCTTAGCATGTATACATCAATTATAAAGTGGTTTCAGCAAACTTTGCCACACATATTAAAGGGAATATACATCATTTGCTTTTGCTGTAATTTTCAGAAATGGATGGAATTGGGGGGTTGGAAATATGAAGCAAATATAGTTACACTGACTTTTTGGAGGTTTTGGGTTCGAAAATGCTATAAAAACCAAGAAAAACGATCATTTTCCTGTAGTCTGGTTCCCTGACTCCATATAAGAAGAAACAGAGCAGTTTACATACATTGGGGAATTGTAAGGTCAGGGAACCAGTCTAGCTGGCCCGTACCCGTTCATAGGTTTGTAATCGATTGCAAACAAGTGCAATGGTCAATTGTGGCCAGTATTTGAAAAAAAGCCAGTTGTTTCCAACGCTGATCGGCCGATCAGCGTTGGAAATTGATACAAAAATACCAATTTTCTTGAAAATGACAGTATACCAGGTGCCATAATTTTACAGGATGCTTTAGACTGTCATTTACCAACATCCTATTAAGGTATTTCGCAAAAACTTGGTAGTTTTATTTTTCGATGTTTGCAAATGTTGTATATTCCCTTTAACTGATTATTCATTTCAAACATTTTTCAACCAGCCGCTAGAGGGCGCTCTAAAATTGTATGACATCACAGATAATTTTTGTGGGAAGTACAGCCTAGCCAGAGACTAACATTGTTGAAAACAAGTTCACATCTTTTTCCAATTCTAAATTATAAGACGCTTCCGGTTTGGACCGGAAAGAAGGGTCACGTGATTTGGCTCACACAAGATAAAATGGAGATCCTGGATTATTCTATCAATTCCAGCAAAAATTAAGTTCAGGTCTCTCGAGGTTGATTTTATATTGATTTTCAAAGATTAAATCTATTAATCTTTAACATGATGTCACGTATATATTATCAAATATTTAAATCAAAAGGACCCGTCCCACAACGATGAAATGTACAGAACATACAGACATCATCAATTAATGACTCCAAATCAAAAGATACTGTTTAAAAATGTGTAAAATTTATTTACATCTTTACAGTTAAACATGGTGAGAAAAACAATTCTCGAGTGCAGTGTTACCATTATATTCTACACATTTGGCCATATTTAATGGCCAACTGCAAAACCCAACAATCCTTAGTACAGATACAATGCAACGGCACTGGCCACTCGTATTTATGTCCAAAATTTGTCAATCATTCTGCAAATTTGATGTAAACAATAGTAGACATAATCGCAGCAATAAATTGTGTTATATGAAATTTTGACTCCTACAAAATTTGGTCTCTTTGACCTTACATGTATATGGACTCTAACCTTCACACGTGACCTGTCACTTAAAGGGAATATACAACATTTGCAAACATCAAAAATCAAAACTACCAAATTATTATGAAATACGGACTGTTAGTGAATGACGGTGTATTATCCTGTAAAATCGTGGCACCTGGCGTGCTGTTATTTTTAAGAAAAAAAAAGTTTTTTCAAACACTGCCCCCAATTTTCCATATTAGTCCGCATTTTGTTTGCAATCGATTACACACCTACGAACGGGTACAAGCCAGCTAGACTGGTTCCCTGACCTTACAATTCCCCGACGTCTATAAATTGTGCCGGTTCATCTTAAGTGGGGTCAGGGAACCGGACTACAGGAACATAATTGCTTTTCTTGGTTTTTATTCCCTTTAAGCATACACAATGCAACCAATGAGTCTGTCACTGTATTTCATAAGAGCCCAAATTTCACACTACACTGACACCACTTTTCCTATTCTATAATATTACAGGAAAACAACATGTCCCACTGAAATATGGTCCCAAACTGGGCAGTATTAAAATCCAGTAGTCTAAACTTGTAATTTAAATACATGAATGTTTAGGTTTTAAAAGTTACAATGTTTTTCTCCAACACTGTCAGCTTTAAATACAGTAAAGTTAAGCTAAAAATGGGCTTTATAAAAAGGGTGTGCATTATTGTTGGTCACGTTACATGTAGTAAAAATAGTGCTAGATATAAATTGTATAATTGCTCCCACTGACCTGTGCTGTGAGTACATATTCTCAAAAAATTCACTCTTAGGCCAAAAAAAAATAGTCGGTCTCTGGTCAGACCAAAGTTCTGGAATCGATGCGACGATGCGCGTGATTTTTTATTTTAATTTTTAAATTTTTTTTTAAAGCTTGGATTGTAGACAAGGTGGGTACTATTTTGCTTGTTTTTTGTCCTCATATACCTTGGTGTCCTCCATTTGCCTTGTGGCCTTCCCCATTATTTGGTACGAAAATTTGAGGTGGTGGGGCAATAGAAGGCGCTGTTGTATCTAATGTGGAAAATTTGAAGAAAAAACGATTGATGCGCATGATCAAAATTGACGCGCGCGCTGACCACAGATCGACTTTTTGGTTTTTTTTATAGCCCAATGGCATACTATTTACTTTGCAACCAACTTACAGCTTGGAAAGCCTATTGTTGCTTTGTCTATTACTTCTACTTTTTAAAATATCTTTAGAAATGTCTGATTCCCTCAAACAAGTCACAGCATTTCCCATGTATTGTATGTCTTAAACCCTCTTGGTCACAAGATATCGACTCTACCTCTAACAACGAAAAAATAATTTGTTTAGACATTAACATGAAGGAAAATAACCTTCCAATAAAACAAAATATTGCTTTGGCTACAGTAATTGCACAGGGACATGTATACTACATAAGACAGCAAAATACTTCAAAAAGCTGTACAAATAAAAAAAAAGTGCTTGAAAACACAGAAGCAAAAGCACTAAAAACACAACTGCAGAAAACTCTGACTTTTGAAATGGGTTTCGCCCTTTGGGAGTTATTTCATAAATTTGTCCAAGGGCTTGCAAGAAATATTCTTCGGTTACTCAGATGGGACTCAAACCCACGACTCAGACTTACTACACGTACGTCTGCATTCACAAATAGTGCATAGATTTGCAAACCATTTCATGAAAAGCTTTTTAAAAAAGTTATTAAAAAACCAAATGATTGTCCAAAAACCAACATTCCCTCTATCAATTCATCCCTGACATGCCTTTCATCTCAACTACTACAACTTGAACTTGTATTAAAAAAAATAGTTTTAGGGCGTTCAGAATGCAGTTTTTCTATGCCTTGTATACATGTACAGTACATAAATGTACATACCAGTACGTGTACATGTACACATACATGTACGGTACATGTAAATCATATACTTGTTCCGTAACTGTAGGGGCTGCATTGTGCCTGCAGAAATAGTCTGGCGCCATGCCATTCAACAGTTAACGATTAATGACATACATTCAGGAAACTCGACAAAAATGGCCAACTCCCAAATAAGGTCCATGGGGACCTAATTTGCCTAACAATAAAAAAAAAATTCCCTGCAGCCTGCCCATCATGTTTTGAGCATTTATCTCCAGATAGTCAACACACAATGTGACTTGCATTATACATGACCTTTCTGCATTCCAAGATGCATGTTTTTGGAATTTTTTGTCACAAATTCTATAGGTCACATGACATTATCTACTGGGTGTGGACTAAGCACCGTCGATATCAGAATCTTTAATAATTGATATATATCGGAAATCCAATATCGAGAATATTCGTAACATCGATTGTCCCATGTAAAAGTTAAAGACCATAAAGATGACACATTGATATTCATCTTTGTGTGTGCACCCTTTATAAAAATTCCCATTAAAGTAAAAATTAAAAAAAAATAAGTGATTTCTCTCTTTGCTGAAACGCAGTGGTCACAAAGAATGAATTCAATTTAGACAAACACCATGAAAAAATGATTAAAAAAATACAGATCACAAAAAAAAAATTTGTTACTGCACATATTTAAACATATGGTTCGTTACCCAACACTACGGATTTCTCTACACATAAATTTAAACATATATTTGTGTATAAATTATCAATATTAGCACAAACACTGGTGGTACTGATTAAATATTATTTTGGTCAGCAGTTAGTTAGCCTAAAATCTGGTTCATATACTAAGTGCAAAAGTAAATATGACCTTAAATTTGTGACGTCACAAGTCATCTTCGCGCTGCGAATTCGCAAAAGCTGAACACATTTCAACTCCAGCGAATTTCGCATCGGATGTTTCATGACGTCAATTTTGCATCACCACTGCGTGAAGTATGAAGCTGCCTTAAAGGCATGTAGGATCATTTGCTTTTCATGCATTTTGTGCATTTTCCAAAAACAACACCGCTCACAATCCAACGAAGAATATTCAAAATCTAATCTGTTGAAAATTCAGCTCAGTGGAAATTACACTTTTTGACAAAACTGTGAAATTCCATGTACAACTTTTTGATCACGAAACGAGATTTTGTCAATAGCACTCTTTCTTTGCGAAAATCAGTCAATTCGGGCGATTCACAATGCAGTGCGCCACCAAGAGTTTGCCACGGATAGTTCATTTTTCCCAGTGCATTGTGGGAGATGGTCGACAAATTCGCAGCTCGGGACATTTGAAATTGTTAGTTTTCCGGCCAGAAAGTTCGTAAACGTATGATTCGAGTATCTGTTTGCCCTTTTCTTTTCGTTTGATCAATATGGAGTTTTTTGTAAGGCGGCAGAACGCTTTGCCCCAATCTATGACAAATTAGCTCAAGTTTTCTACTGACACTCGTTCAAATGGGCCATGTTTTGTCGACCGTGACCTTGAAAAACTAACTCTCCGTGGCAAACTCTTGGTGGCGCACTGCATTGTGAATCGCCCGAATAGGCTGATCGTTGAAAATCACCTAAATTTGTTGATTTCTTTGAAATGACAGAAGGCCTGACAGAACAATTTCACTGGCCGTTTAGTACCAGCACAATCTTTAACATGTTTAATCCAAGTAAGCTTTTTGACAATAATTTGGTAGGTTATTTTTGGGATAACAATTATGCAAATGATCCTATATGCATTTAGAACTGCATTTACAGAACCTTAAAGTAAAAATACTGGTAGTGTTACCTCCTACGTGGTTTCTAGTTGGTCTATTCCCGGCGTGTTAAAGCTCAGGAAAGCGACTCGCATCTTGGGTGTAATCGCGCGGGATTTTGAAGAGAGATGGTGAGATGTTGTCGCGATACTGGAAGTCATGGAAGGTGACCCGGGCAGTGATTGTAGGCAAGACTGGCACATCTTGGGAAAAAAAAACAGAAGAATTTACTGGTTGAAATGTGGGCTCCGTGCACAAGTACCCCTTCAACGGCCAGAAAAGGAGAGATGGGGGAGACCTAGTCTGGGTCCTGATTCATCCACAGTTATTGGGGCGGGGATTAGTCTGGGAGACCATCACAAGAAACATTTAAATGCATTTGCGCGCCGATGACGCCTGACGCTCACGCAAAGACGCTGTGGCTAATAGCTTGGCACATTTAGGAAGTCGTATTACTTCGCGCGCAAACCAGTACAGTACGCACACGCTGTGTGTCCCATCCAAGGGGCTGTCAAAATTGGTAAAAATGCGCCCTCTTTTATTGGCGCAAGAAGCCCATAGCAGTCCAATCGCCAAGGTGTTAGACTCATGTGCCGTGGTACGTGGGTTCAAACCCTGACAGGGAGCATGGTGCTTGTGTTCTTGGGCAAGACACTTTACTACAATTGCCTCTCTCCACCAAGGAGTATAAATGGGTATCTGTACAGGTAGAGACCAGACTGCACTGCAGAAAAGTGGTCTCAGTTTGATGAATGAGGGTATAATCTATGAGAAATTTGTTTTAAAAACCTACAATATTATTATTTTTATACACAATGGCATTCGGATTTCTTATGACCGAAACCAAATGAGGAACTGGCACTATTTATACAGCCGAATTTTTTTTTAGTCAAATCTGTTTCACAAAATGCCATCTTCGACAATTCGTACTAGATGCTGAGTGATTCAATCAAGTGACTGAACCTTTTTGATGTGTGCGATCGGAGAACATATTGAAATTAGATGGAATGGAATTTCACATGTAGGCTTGGACTCATCAGTGTAAAAACAAGTGCGGTTCTTGCACCGCATGTCTTGCCTGCTGTTAAGATTATCTTTAAAGAGTGACCTTTGACCTTGTATGTGACCTTTGACATCATTATCATATGAAAGTTTCAATGTTGCATCTATGACCCAAGTTTGGTTCCAATTGGACTTCCACTTTTCAAATGAGACCAATTCCCCGAAAGGCGAGACAAAAATCAAAAGATCATGCACAAACTGACCTATTTTGATGGGGAATCCGGGAGGCATCTTGATAGACATGAAGTCCCGTAGCTTCTGGAAGTGTTTCATTGGAGTCAGGACCTCCAAGATGTTCAGTAAGTCTGGCAGCTCCATAGGAAACTCCTCACTCTGTCAATGATGGCACACACACACAAAGAATACAGGTAACTTCAAAAAATTTCATCACTACTGTATTGCTATCTATCCTATGCTGTACAAATGTGAATGCAGAAACATAAGTTAGGCTGAGCGCTCACATACTCAAATTTGTATCCTTGTGGAGACATCGCTTTGTTCTCGTGAACAAAAATTGTGAGAGGGTCGAAAGCCTTTTTTCAAAATGCTCCTATTTTAACCCGAATTACTCTCCTGGGTTGACATCCTGACCAAATATCCCTTACATAAAATACTTTAATTTGCGATTGATAAGTATACCTTGAAAATTCCAAGTTTTAGAGTAAAATCCATATGTCTATTTTGTGAAATCCTTGTTGAGACTTCTGAAATTGCCTCGTGGAGACCTTGACAATCTTTTGTTCCGTATTATATCCGGGTCTCTACAAGGCATCATTTTTTCGAAACACTGGGTACGAGTTCAGCGCGCTGACAGCACGAAGCAGGTAACCAATTATCTTATTGGCTCATGCGCGTCAAGCAAGCAACACGCAGTGAATTTTCCTATTGGCTGAATGACGAAACGTAGTCTTCTTTTTTTCAGAGTTGATTTCCTCCATGTGGGCAAAACAAAGATTTGTTTTTCTTTCCATCTGGGATGGAATGCCAGAGTTTTTCCCCAAAACATGAATAAGCTACAGTCCGAAAACGTGTATCCTTGTTCATATATTGTGATTTCATTTGAGTGTTTTTCATGCAAGGCAGACAAAGGATGCAGTTAACCAACTCACCAATGCTACCGTAGCCTTGAAGACCTTCTTGGATTCTTTACACACTTGTGGTCTGCCGATGTGTGCTCTGTAGTTCACATGTAAAGATAAAATATGTTCTTCTCGTAAAGTACATGTACATTTAATAACTGTTGACGCGTGTAACGTGTGACTTAAACAATTGTATGCTGTGAAGTGGGATATGACGTTTTTAACACCTCAGGGGCGCACATCACCAGAGGCGAATTAAATAAATTATAATCACTGCGACACAACCTTTGATAACTGAAGGTTTTGACGTCCTGCCGGACATGAGACTGAACATTTGACGTTGCAGTTCTCATTGCGCAAAGCTACCATGTATAGTGTGCGTCGGCAGGTTCCGGACGCACGTGCGACGCATGCAATGAACACAGTGCAATATCACCCTTGGTGTGTGATGCAACATGTATTTTTTTTGTTCAGACACTGAAATTACTGTATCCAAGCACACGATATATAACAATGTGGGTTTTTCCACTGGAATGATGAATGGCACCTTAGGCAAAGCTAGGGGTGTTAAACATCCTTGCGAGAGTCAAAATGCATATCCCTCATCAGAGCAGTCAACAAGTACTTTTTATTTTGTCAACAGAACTACAATGGGAAACTGACAAAATGCATTATAATAATTTAAAAAGTGAACAAAGAAACTGACTGCAGCGGGGTCTGAACCTGCGACCTACGGATTGCCGTTCTGGTGCCCTACCAACTGAGCTATCCGGCCCTACGTCGGTGGATCCCCGAATTGCCAGTGACTTTGCTCAAGGGGTGCTAGTCAGAAACAATCAACCCATACGGTATTTGCCATGTAGCCAGGCATCACACCTTAAGTCACGATAATAGCAACATTAGGAATGCCCTAAGTCACGATGCTAGCAACATTACAAATTCTGCAAACAGGGATCATTCCGAGAGGATACGGCCGTGTTGGGTTCCATCTCACAACCGACTAGCTCATAATTGTTGCCTTGGCCTTACCTGGAGGGTCGTCCTTTGATGTACTCTGACCATGTTATATCGGTAGAGGGTGGAGGGGGCAGGGAGTGTCTGTACTGGGGCTGAGAAAACAATCAAACCACACTGGAATGAATATAACGAGGGTCTTATAATTGAGTATTAAGAATGAGACCTGCCCCCACGAAACCCTGACAAAGTTGCAGAAGTTGTTTTCGCACAAAGGACATGCACAGTCATTTTGGGGTGAAACTGACCGTTTTGAGGTTTTGAGATTTTCTGACTCGGTAACTATTAATCTACAACCTCCCAAAACGTGAATATAATCCATCAAACAGAAGTGTGTTTTTGGTTGATTTAGTTTTTTAAAATGTGTGTAAAAATTTATACAAAAGCATATAAAATATCTAAATATTTGGTATACTCGGCACAGCCCTAAAAAAATACATTCATTGACATGTGGCTGATATGGAGACATTAATGTTAAACATCAGATCAACCTGCATCAGACAACTTATGTTTGATCACGGTTCAATCACATGTGAGAGGTGAAATGAACATGTAGTATCATCATTTGCAGTTTGCTCTGTCCCATCTATGCTGCACTACCAGTATGTACACATACAAATATAGTGATCAACGAGAGAAAGATGTAAAACTTGTGCGCAATGCCACCCTGTACCCATATCTCAAGAAAGATACTTTTAATAGATGTTTGCACGTTTAGATGAAAACCGGTTGTGCATACTCCATACATGTATGCCATACACAAGAGAACCAGCATCAATTTAATTGTAATTAAAATATGAAAATTGGAAAAAGGTCTGATTCTTATTCTTATTCGTGACACAATTTTGAAAGTTGCCGCACGACTCTTAAGAAGTCAGACAAGACTATTTTCAAAATGGCGGGTGGGGGTGATTCGAAGGCTGTTTCGTGAATACACAAACAGCCATCGTAAATGCTGCTAATATCCTCGTCCAAGATATTTAAACTATTTAAAACATTGCGCAGCTTTGCCAAGTTTCATGAAATTGATCGTAAGCTTATTGCGCATCTGTGCAACAAATTTCTCGAGTAAGTCCTATGCATGGCTTCCATGTAAGTTGCGCAAAGTTTCGTGAAATCTGCTACTGCTGACATGCTTCATGCAAAGTATGCTACCCAATGTCCAGTCGTACATACCTGTAGATTAGCTGGTAAGACTCGGCCTTTGTTTAGGTTCTCCAGAGCAGCTTTGTTCTTTTGAATGTCTTCATCTGATAGATGTCCTCTCCTGTAAGTAAAAATAATTTTTAAAAAATCACTTGTGCTTTAACGTTTTGCTTAACCCAACTGCTAACTACTAGCCCTAATTGTGTGAGGTCTCATTTTGCTCATGCGTGCACTCTTTTACTTTTCGCTTACTACTGTCACCCAAAATTAAGTCTGTACAAAAGTTATTTTTCTGGGCTTCACACTTGAAATTTTGAATTTCTCACTAACCGCTAAAATGTCCTGCTACAGTTAGCGGATACATGTTTTTTTCCCTTAATACATGTACTGAAAGCAGCCAACTGGAGCTAGCTCACTGCGATAAGATGTTTATTTACAGTCAGGCAGATTGGTGCAAAATACGATAGAATTTCTCATTTGCTGATAAAAGCATGAAAGTTGGCACACAGAAAGTATATGACCTAGAGAAAGTTTTCCACTATAGGGCCATCACAGATTTGTGGTTTGAAAAAATATTGGTAGAATAATAATCAATTTTTAATTTTTAAAATGGCTGCCATTGCTTGTTATTCAAAGGACAAATCTGCAATGGTCCTACTCTGACTGTCTGCCATATTCCATGCCTTTATAATCAAATGACCAATCCCATCACCAATCTGCTGTACTATTAATGACTTTCTCAGAATGAGATTACTTTGGGGTGGTTGGCTTATATGCACTTTTACTGTATCCACCATGGTTTCCCATTGACCATATTTACCTTTTCCTTGTCTCAACGATGACGTTGTTGATGACGTAGACGTTTGCATAGAAGTTGCCCACCGTTTCGCACTTCTTTTCCCTGAAGAGCCACCCGCTCTGTGCGCGGGTGAACGTGATGGGCTTGGTGGACATGGTCATGGTGACGACGTCGCTGCTCATCAGAATGTCCACTTCTTCTTCCAATTCTTTGTCAGTTTCCTGTAAAGAAAATGCAAATCATTTCTTCATGAACTCCATTCGTGCACAATAGACGGCAATTTCTACAGGGTGAGTAAAAAAAAAAAAAAAAACCAAATGTCAGGACCATTGTTTTAGTGAAGTTCTGCATATAGCGCTTTCAAAATCTAGGATATGAAATCCTAATTCATAAGCTTTCTTTTAGTACAGGAATCATTCGAATCACTCATGTAATTTTAAAGTTACGAATTTTAAACACAACCGCCGTTTTGTTTTCGTTTTGCTGAAAGAACGCACACCTTTTTTGTGATCCGTGGACAGAACTTTAAAACGGTGGTTGTGTTTAAAACTCCGTAACTTGAAAAGTGCACGAGTGATTTGAATGATTCTTGTACTAAAAGAAAGCTTATGAATGGGGCTTTCATATCCTAGATTTTGAAATAGCTACATGAACATTCAGAACTTCACTAAAACAATGGTCCCGACATTGGGTTTCATTTTTTTTAATCATCCTGTAGAGCCCCAATGGGATAGGCTTGTTGCATGCACACTGGTTTGCATGCGAATGGCGCAAAGCACGCCCAACTTATAATTCTGAACATGCAAAATCCTGTAATATCAGGACCCAGTAGTAGTCTAGGGGCTAGACGTTGTTATGGTTTGATACGCCATAACCTGCCGCCTTACGAGGGCATTAGCATGACCAAATATCACCCACGAACCAGTCAAAAACAACATCTATGGAAATTTGTATTGGTTGTGTAATGCGCGCGCACCTGTTTTGCCTAATATATGCAGCGCACATTCAGAACATTTCATTGTAGTTCCGAACCAAACTCTTAAATTTCTTACCAGTAGTATAAAAGATGCAGCAAGACTTTTGTGCAACTTCACTGGTCAGCTCTATTGCGGTGTGTAGTATGCATTTTTGTAAGTGGGACTGAAAATGGACCGTTATTGCCTGCAGCAGTAGTGCATGCGTACTTGTTTCCCCCAATTTTCGGGGGGACATTTTACGAATTTCCCTAGACGTTGTTCCTGACAGGTTCATGGATGATATTGGTTGGTCGTGATAGCGCCCTCTCGCGGCTGCGGTTATCGCGTATCAAACCATAACAACGTCTAGCCCCTAGACTAGCCCAGTGGTCTCTCTCCTGGTAAACTGTACTTTCGGGGGGGGGGGGGGGGGGGGGGGGGGGGGGGGGGGGGGGCTCCTTGTGCATGAGTTCATACATGTCAAAAATTTTTTACTTGGATGTGTAAACGATATCCGGTGTATGTTCAGTGCAAAAGAACGTGTCCATGATGTACCGGTACATGTATTGGAAAGCCAACAACTCAAATAAAAAGGACATCACAGTTTTTGAACATGGCCAAAAAATGTCAGTCTCTTTTTTCATATTCATGTACATGTACATGTACATGTACATGTGCCTCAAAGCATGTTCTATTGATTCACCGATATTAAAAAAAAAAATCAAACGTAGCAGACAAACGTATATTTCTAATACAGTGTCCTATTCACATGAGGTTTATCATTGTGTTGAACATTGTCAGATGCCGACATACAATTTTGATGTCTGATGTTTGATAATAATATATAGAAATTGGTTGAAAATCTATGACTTTTGAATGAATGCCGTCACTGCAAAAGCGAAAATAAAATTAATACTTTCTAAATGATTAAACCAATTCCATACCCCTGAAAAGTAAAAGAGTGAATAAACGGCCTCATTAAACAGTGTAGGAAACATGAACATTATGTGTACATACAAGCGGATGCTGTAAACCATTTCACCTTTATGTGCATAGAGTTTCCTGTGCCACCAATAAGGGTGTGTACAGTAGTTGATTTTTGCGACAGTAAAATTTTCAGAAAATTTCATGAATAAAACAATGAATGTAAAGACTGTTTCCCAGCACCGGCGTGTAATGTGCAAATGCAAAATTAAAGAAATTGTCTAATTTCAGACTGGACTTAACCTTTCTTGTTTTGTAGTGCTTTATAGATGGTTATTCATCCAAAATTAAGAAAGGATAGAAACAAAAAAATGTTAGAATGTGGTTAAAAGTTAACAGAAAATATAAAGGCCTTTAAAAAACAACTTATGAGACGAGATTTGAAGGTTTGCATGGTGGAAAGATACGGTACTAAGACAAGATAAGTTTGCGGTAGCACACATGTGAATAAATCTCTTTTGTGAGTATGTGTGGTATCAGACCTTACCGCGGTTTATTTTTGATATCAAGTCATTCCAGGTAATCACAACTCATAATATCAATCACAAGTCAATCGCAAGTCAATCACAAGTTAATCGCAGGTTAATCGTAATTTAATCGCAATTCAATCACAAGTCAACCACAAGTCAATCACAAGCCAACCACAAGTCAATCACAAGCCAACTACAAGTCAATCACAAGTCAATCACAAGTCAATCACAAGCAAACTACAAGTCAATTACAAGTCAATCACAAGTCAATCACAAGTCAATCACAAGTCAATCACGAGCCAATCACAAGTCAATCATGGGCCAACCACAAGCAAATCATAAGTCAATCACAACTTAATCACAAGCCAATCACAAGCCAATCACAAGTCAATCACAAGCCAACTACAAGTCAATCACAAGTCAACCACAGGCCAACCACAAGTCACTTAGTTTCAAGTTAAGTGACAACCTACATGTAGTTAAATGACTTCAACAAAGGCGTTTCTTTGTCATACACCCCATAAATTGTGACCAATTAACCAACTCGATTACAACTCCTGAGTCATGTATGATAATGACAACCCTTTAGATAAGAGATTAATGCTGCAGAATCTTGTGCAATTAAGCAAGGTAAGGTTGGGAATGAGTAAAGGAAAACATTGATGGAGCTACTAACATGCTTAAAATAAACTGTACAGGGTGAGTAAAAAAAACGAAACCCAAATGTCGGGACTATTGTTTTATTGAAGTTCTGCATGTAGCACTTTCAAAATCGAGGACATCAAAGCCCAATTCATAAGCTTTCTTTTAGTGCAAGAATCATTCAAATCACTCATGTACTTTTCAAGTTACTGAATTTTAAACACAACCACCGTTTCAAGGTTCTGTCTACAGATCACATAAAAGTTCAGTGTTCTTTGAGCAAAACGAAAAGATATCACATACATTGTAGGGATGTGTGAATTGTTTTTGTTTTGCTTTTTTGTGATCCGTGGACAGAACCTTAAAACGGCGTTTGTGTTTGAAATTCCGTAACTTGAAAAGTACATGAGTGATTTGAATGATTTTTGTACTAAAAGAAAGCTTATGAAAGTGCTACATGTAGAACTTCAATAAAACAATAGTCCCGACATTTGGATTTCGGGTTTTTTTTACTCACCCTGTACTTCAGTAACTTACCTCATATCTGACCCGTTGGTAGAGTTTATTGTCGTTGTCTAGAATAACTAGCGAAGTGTCCGGTTTGGCCTCTCCATTGAACAGGAACGTGTTGTTGCCCCGTTGCCATCGCATGTCATTGAAGTCCACTAGGGTGGTGTCCATACGCACCCGCGTGCCACGCTTCAGGATACGGCAGGTGTCAGAGGGCAGCATTCGGGAGACTAGGGGAACTAAATAGAAAGCAATAGGAATTAGGAAATATGACGTAAAATCGTTTGTGATGCATTCTGGCACCACTCGACACTCTGGACAGAGCGTAAAATTGAGATATGAGCAAAACAATTTAAAAGGGCTGAATTTCTTTTTTCATTTAATTTTCAATTGCAAATTTGAAATAACAAATTGATGAAATATACATGTACTATAAAAGGTGCAGGTCATAATTTTGCCTCTAAAACTAATTTTTAGATGATTTTTAGAGACGTTATGATAATAATAATAATAACGGAGTCTTATAAAGCGCACGCATCTACCAACAATTAGGTACTCAAGGCGCTGGAAATTATGTCAATTATTAAAGAAAGGTAAATAAAGTTTATGAGAAATGATACGAGAAATGCGAACCGAAACTGTTATCAGGCAACCACTAAACATGCTACAAAATGTATGTAACCATGCTGAACCCTAATTCTCCTGTTTCCTCCAATTTTTATAAGATTTTTGAAACACCCTACTGGGTTAGGGCCAATGTCTATTAATTTCCTATGACATTTTGCTCCAGATGGCTGTTATATGCAGGCATGCAATTGGGAATTTAGAAAAAAATGAGGAAACTCCAAACCACACAAGACTTTGTACAGCATTCTTCAATTTGTAATGGCATTCATGAGAAGTCAAAAACAAGGAAATCAGCGGATCCGAAGAAAGGTTGCATGCCTATATGTGGATTCAAAAGGCTGCACTGTTTTGTTGGATTATTCACAGCAGGTGGCCAATTAGGTAAACCCCACTGGTATTAGGTTAATCATGGCAAAGACCTTGAGGGTATGGGAGAAATGAGCTTTATGTACATGTACACATACCTGTACCTATCAACTGCAATTACTTGTACAAACTGTAGTAGACCCTTATTGTTAACCTTTCAGACATTAATTGTGTCAGATGTGTCTTCTGGAGTTATTTGAGACCTGTTCTGTCAAAAGCAGACGCTTCTGGGCAGAGGTTGAAATTGAGATAGGGCCAAAAAACGCTGAGGGGGTGATTTTTTTTGATTTTCAGATTTTTGCATATTGGTAATCCTGAACATGTCTAAAATATACTATAAAAGTTTGAAACCCGAATTTGAACTCTAGATATACTATTTTTGATGATTTGTTAAGGTACAAAATGTATATTAGTTAAAGAAATGACTGTTTTGTGACGTTCGTGGCCATTTTCTCCGTTTTCTACTTTCCGACACAATGAACTTCAAAATAGCATAACTCTTCCCAGGAATGACCGGTTTCAAAAATTAAACCACCTATTAAAAGGAAAAAGAACATACCGTATTTTAACAATATGCAAAAATATCATTTTTGACCTTATGCCCAGAAAAGTCTGATTTTGACAGAACAGGTCACATTTGGCAAATTTCCCCCAAAAGATGGTTCCAATTGTGAACATTCAACCATTAAAACGGTAAATGGCACTGGATTTCATAGGAGTCCAAATTTTCATGTGACATCATCCATTTAAGACCGGTCACGTGACAGGCTCTCAATCAATAAAAATGGGTATACTGTTTCAGGTATTTATGAATACATGCAGTTGTTAATGTTACGCACCCTACTTAAGATTTTGAGCAATTTTCATTGCTTCAAATGAAGAAAATGCACAAAGAGTAAACAATCCTATGTGACTTACATGTTACAATCAGAAAAGGACACTGACTGGTATTTGGACATCAGGAAGGCGCGCCCATAAATTAAAATCAGATGGCCACAGTTCTTACCCCAGCTTTGGAAGTCCCATCTGACTTCCATGTAGAAATCACCCAGATCTTCCAATGCCTGGATCAGTTGAGGTCGTTTGGTTTCTAGTAATTCCCTGGACTGCTGTTTCAACTTCCGTAATAATGTCGTAACTGGACAAACAAAAAAGCAATTTCAAACATCTGTTGGAATGCATGCTACCGTAATAACCAAGCTATTATTTTACCGACTTCAAGCTGCTTCTACAGCGTTCCCACAGAAATCTTAGAGTGAAATTCGGGCGATTCACAATGCAGTGCGCCACCAGAAAAATGGAGAGTCCATTTTTCAAGTTACGGTCGACTAAACTTGGTCCATTTGAATGAGTGTCAGTAGACAACTTGAGCTAATTTGTTATAGATTGGGGCATAGCATTCTGCCGCTTTACAAAACACACCATATTGATAAAACGAAAAGAAAAGGGCAAACAGATCCTCCAATCATACGCTTACGAAACTAATGACCAGAAAAACTAACAATCTCTCGGTGGCGCACTGCACTGTGAATCGCCCAAATTCCATGACTCTGCTTGGACACCAAAAAAAAAAAAAAAAAAGAAACAAAAAAAAAAACGAGGAAACTCCTATCTCTGCGAGACTTTGGACTGTGTTTTTAATGGCATAAGTGTCAAGTGAGAAACAAGGAAATAAGCTGATCCGAGAAAAATTTGCACGCCTACACTGAAAATACACATGTAAAGGTCAACGCAGTGTGCAAACTGATCCTCCCACTTTTTCAGGTAAAAATTACATGTCAATTGTCATCAAACACTTAAGCCGAACAAAAAAATACTTCTGCTTTCGAATACATGGCACTTGGCACTTGTTTTTGTGTACGATCACATGTAGGTGTCTGCGTGTAGTCAAGGGTAAAAGGTAGTAATTGATGGTTTGGGGTGTTTTTTCCTCATTTTTCCCATAAAAAAAATACCGGTAGAGTAGGGGCTGTCAGAATAGGGTAGTGAGAGAAACCGGAAGCAGAACTACATGTATTTTTTGTTTTGGCCTTATTACAAATAGATGTAGAAAACATCTGAAACTGTACAAAATTCTTTCTACTGGTATGTACAAGAAAGCTGTGCACACGTACATTTACCGCGACATTAGACTCATTGCACAGTACATGTGAACAAATATGTTTTTTTGCATCTCGGTAAAGTCACTGACGGTATTATGCATGCTTGAAACATATCACATGAATGAATAAATATGTCCCCTGATTCGGAATATGTTCTTATACTGGTACCTATAGTCCACGGCTGTCAGTGTGGTTTGGCTATATTGTGCTGCGCTAAATCAAATTTTTGAGGAATTTTACATTTTCATTCCCCACAGCCCCCCCCCCCCCCAATGAATTTTCTTCCCTAAATTGTATAATCAAGTCCTGATGATTGATTAAATAATTTTACCCTTTTCTTCTCATTCATGGCTCTGGAGCATTTCTTTGTTTGTTTTTTTCAAGGGAATTTACATGTACTGTAAGTCCTAGAACCATTCTGTTCCAGTCATGGACTATACAATTGCGTACAGTATGTGTAGTACAGGAATGGCAAAGTCCATCTTGCAAAAGTTATGTACACGTACAAATTGTACGCTTTATGTCAAATGATGCCAATTGTAAACTCTTTAACTTGAGTGTGTTTTGTTTTGAGATGATACTCAGTAGTCGTACTGTATTTGTACAGTATCTAAATGACAGTAGTCTGATTGTACATGTATATTGTATGTTTTTGTGCCCATACATGTACTCAAGTTTTTGAGAAAAAAAAACACAAAGGCACAATGACAGATGCAGTGTATTACTCTCCTCAGGCATATACTGCATGTACACGTATACAAAATTGCAAACTAATATCTTAAACCAGAATGCCAGTCTTTTTTTGCTGGTCCCTGAGGACTACAGTCTATAGACCTTTATCATGCTGCCACCATTTCAGTCATGTTCCCTGTATCCAAAATGTCCAATAACAGTAATGAATGATAATGTTTTTGTGCAATAAAGGAACCAGACTATTTTTATATCATCTAATTTGCGCCTCTCTCACTGACTGAATCACTGACTCGCTCCCCGACTGACGACTGACAGACTGTCACCGGTGAGCCGGGCAGTGCTATTGTATAGGATTACCCTGTTACAAAGCCAATGACCAGGCATGCAACTGTGAAGTCACACAAAAAGAGGAAATTAAAATCTCCTCAAGACTTTCTGCAGTGTTTTTCTATTTTCAATGGCACACATGGGAAGTCAAAAAAGAGGAAATCAGCTGATCCGCGGAAAAGTTGCATGCCTGAATGACTAGGATAAATCCGGCCAATTGTGCAGATCAGGTGAACGAAAAGACTAGCAGTGAATATAGCCATTCAAACTCAATTCAATTCAAATTCAATTCAACATGCTTTATTTATCCTTAGAAAGGCAATTACATGGTTGGACAGCTCACTATAAAAAACCCACTATATTCTGAATTGATCGAATATGTGTGGTACGGAAGCAGCTTTACTATGCTTCCAGTCTAAATGTGATTACATTGACGTGAGAAATGTGTACATAGGTCACATGAATACCAACATGATCATACCATACGCCAGTTGATTCTAACAAAATGTACATAACCAAACATGGCTCAGTCAATTAACATTTTGTAATTTATGCTCGCTGAACAATGGAAGGTCACACATCTGGTACTGCACTTATTGTAATCATTCTTAAAACACAAAATATGGAATCAATCTGGTAGTAGGCTAGCATGCTTTCGACTACCGGTATGCCAAAATTCATGCTTCTATTTTTTATTACTGGTACCAGCAATAAATTGAAGGCTGTTTTCCCGAAGCTAGAATGCATGTAAATTGACTTATTGATTTATTTTGTTTTTTCTATTTCTAATTGCTGATTTGAAGAAAAAATATTTTCATAGAAACATATTTTTATTAAAACCCTAACCGCCCTGAATCCTTCAAAATCCTCTATGCCAAAGTGGAGGAATTTGGAGGATTGAGGTTACATGTACATGTACATGGCAAGAGTGCATTACTGATTTTGTAGGATGCACTTTGTCAAAGTCTTGGGCCGGACATTGTGTTGTTTTTGCTGAACTGTGCATAAATATAGGCCTGGATTATGCTTGAAATCCTCCGTACTGCTCCAGGATGTCACTGGCCAAGCCTCAACATATTGACAGTCACTGCCACAGGATTTTGCGGGATTCAGCCAGTGGTCACCCCTCCATGGACCATATTCAAGAAATAATGGAGGAATTTGCAGAATTGAGGCTACATGTGTATGCTATTTTCCATGAGGCAATTGGAGGTTTTTGCAGGATCGAGGCTACATCCTACCGGTAGCAAAAAGGCCTAGGGAGTTAGGGTTAAATTTCAAAAGTAACGCAGGTGATTTCGAGTTTCCCGCATGTTCTTCAAAAACAATTTTATAGTACGCAGCACCATTGGTAGAATATTCATTTAACAAGTTTAAAACAAATGCTAGAATGAATCTGTGCAGTGGTTATCAATCTTTTCAAATGGCAAGGTTATGTGAACCTCCAAATTGTGTTTATTCTTGAGCTTGATTAAACAAGGTCAAACAAATGAACTCTGTGACGCCCGAATGACGACAAACCACTTTCATGGCATTGTTCTCTATTAACACTGCAAACTATTCTTGTTTATTGATGTGTTTTCAAAGTAAACAGTACAGTTCACCCTGGCCTGCGTACTGTATATGGTGCATGCTGTTTCTGTTTACGTGTTATTCTTTGTCCAATACTGGTTTTGGGTCGTCCTTCGACTTGTTTGCGCTGCGACGGAACTGTCTACATCAAACAGAAAAGTCATGCTCAGGTCACAAAACTGAGAAATCATGTGATTAACGTGGAACAAGTGGCATCTCGACAACGACGCGATGACTATTCCGCGGCATAAACGTGATCATGTGACTTCTTCAAAATGGCAGTGCGAGTGGTGGCAACAATCAAATGATCTGACATGGCCATGTCTGTTCATTCAACCATTTTTGATTGGCTACACCATGCATCTCGACGACGACGCAATGACAATTCCGTGGCATAAACGTGATCATGTGACTTCTTCAAAATGGCGCTACGCGTGGTGATAACAATCAAATGATCTTCCATGGCCACGTCTGTTCATTCAACCATTTTTGATTGGCTACAGGATGAAATGCGATGATCTGGACGCACTATGTCTTGAACTTCGTACAGGTCGACTGCTTCAGTGCGATTGATTCCTTCCTGACAGAAACACATTCCATCGCAGCGCAGAAGCTGAAAGTTTTCTTATCACATAACGACAGACTGTTGATTTTTTTTTAGCACCGACTGATGCTGATCGTCTTAATATCGTCGCAATTACACTCAAGGTCGCAAAAAGTTGGTGACTGATATGTTTTCCGACAGTCGTAACTCAGGTGCAGCTTGATCCTGACAAGTCAGTCGCAGACTGATCTGTGTCGTCGCAAGGTTGACCTGAGGGCAGCCTAATTTAGCCAAAATTCCTCGCTATCCCGTGAAATACATGTACGCTTACCGTAAGCACAGAATGTTCTGATACAGTAAGCAGGTATTTTTCTGCTAACGGTAAGCAGAGCCATGAAATCGGGCCTTGTTGCATTGGGGGAACAAACTCTGAACTCAAGTCTTGAACTAAGACTAGTACCTAGTAACAATTACTTAGCATATGGGGTAACTGAGGCTGAAAAAGCTAAAATTTTAAGTTTTAGCGCCATCGCACTGAATGTTTTTGCGCTACCGACCACCATTGTTTGGCAATTTTTTGTCAAAAAAAATAATTTGTCAAATAACCATATTTCTATAACCTGTGGGCCAAATTTGCCGACCGTGGTTGCTTTGGAAAGGTACATGTAACATCATAAGGAATCCAAATTTACCATTACCTTTCATGTCGGAGTAATTTGAAGTATGATGACCTTTTTGACCTTTACATGTACTTTTACCTTGAATTTGTCCTTGTGGATCAAGTAAACTTGAGCCAAACTTTGATGAAAATTATACCCCACAGCCATTCCATGGTGACTCGCGTGACATTTGAACAAAATGTAAAGTTTTAATGCATTACTGTTGTTAATCTGGCATTTATTCAACTCAAATTAGCATGTAATTGAGTCAGGGCATTGTGAATATATGGTTTAGTTTTTATATGATTACTTTAAAATCGCTATTTTTTCATGTATCACAGTTTCTTTGACGTGACTCGCGTGACAGGATAGAAAAAGGGATTTTTGACATCCCTTGATTCAAATAGCTTTTCCTATGGATCTACCAGTATTCTAAAAATTATTCTTACTGAACTTAGAACTTAATACCCTCACCCAATACATGCATAAGTTGTATTGTGCCAAATATCCCTTGTTGTAAGAAATGGCCTGAAGAAAATGTGACTCGCATGACACAAATGCGTGACTCGCGTGACACAGTAGCTTTTCACTTTCACATTATAACTGTAATTTTAGTATAACAAATCAAATCATAATATTATATTAATAAAAATGATTTACCTGTGAATACCTTATGAAACAGTGTGAAAACGGCTATTTATCCGTTTACTTTGGCAAATGTTGGTCGTGGAAATCTGGTTTAAACACAATATCCTTAACAATGACATGGAGAGAAAAAAATGTTTCAGAATTTAAGTTACGAAGTGATGTCATCAATCCACGGGTGATTATTTCAGGAAAACAGTTGTAATTCTTGGTCATGTAGAGTCACAGTTTCCTTAAAAGGTAAGAGCTGCAATTAATGAGCATATCCACAAGACCTGCCGATCAGCATCCTGGGGAATTGTCAGAATCGGCAAAATCAGGAAATATCTGACCAGTTACTCAACAGAGAGACTGGTCCATGCACTCATTACATCTCACATTGATTATTGTAACAGCCTGTTGTCCGGTTTGCCCAAGTCAAACATCGCTCCATTACAACGCATTCAAAACTCTGCTGCCAGAATGGTCACTCGGACTAAGAAACATGAACACATTACACCAGTCCTTCGGTCTCTTCATTGGCTTCCGGTTCACGAACGCATCATCTTCAAAACACTTCTCCTTGTTTTCAAAATCATCCATACAACCTTGCCCTATCATACCTCCAGGAGCTCGTATCTACCCAGTCCACAGCCATTTCATCTACATCCCACCACCTCCCATCGCATTCTACAGCCCATCTTCAATACTGCCTGGACCTACATTGTAAAACCAAAACCAGCTATGGCGACCGTGCTTTCTCTGTGCTAGCCCCGAAACTCTGGAACTCTCTTCCCATCCACATCCGTGAAACTGATTCATTGGACTCGTTTAAGACAGTACTTAAGAGCTTTCTTTTTTTCACAAGCCTTTGATCAGTAAAATGATAATTGTACAAGAAACAACTGTGCGCTTTGAAACATGGTGGAAAGCGCATTATAAATTTTGAACAGCGCCCCTATTGAAATTGGTACCAGCCCCCCCCCCCCCACGCCCCCCTCCTCCAGTTTTTTATTTTACGGAGGCCAAGTGTCCGGAGAAAAAAACGTGTACATTTTCAGATTTTTTGGCTGATGAAACCCCCCCCCCCCTGCGAAAAGTCCTGGATCCGCCCATGGTGACTCGCGTGACATACATCATGTGTGACTCGCGTGACATTCTTGAGATAGTTTTTTCTATAAGGAATGTAGAGCAAATAAGAATATTCATACTTTTATTGATAGACCACCACTATTTCATTTACAAATATCAAACACTAGCTAAATCCCTCTCTAGTTATTAAGTAATCTGAAAAAAAAGTCCTATTTTGTGACTCGCGTGACATATTTTTGAGGGTGTTTTCACGATGAAATAGTGGGAAAATACTGAAGACATTTGGAAAAATTCTCAATGTTTTATCAAATAGACTGGAATAGCTACCAAATGTATGCAGATAAAGCACAATCTTATGAATGAGCTTCAATTACTTCCTCAGTTTGTGATTTATACCCCTGACCCTCCGTTTTGCCCACAAAATTCATCCATGTTCAGGAGGCTGAAACTTTAAATCAAATGATTTATTTTAAAAAATCTTTTGAGATTTAGATGGTTTCAATATTCCTCTTATCAAATATAACTGACAAAAATTTATTCCTTTCACTTCAATTTTGAGTTTGGTGATGACCCTTACATGGAATGGCTGCCCAACATGTTTTATACAAAATATCAAAAATTTGGGGGTATTTATAACATTTTTTGTTTTCCTACTACATATCGCTCATGTCAGAGTTGGCAAACCCATGAATAACATGTACATGTTTGATGTGAATATGATGAAGGTTGTCACTTACTTGTTGGTCGATCGCCGTAACTGACTGCCTCGGCTAATGAACTCCATCCTTGCGGGTTTTTGAATCTCACCGGTGCGTTATGGGCTAGTAACAAGTGTATACACTCTGTAAAACAAGGAAATAATGCATACTATACATGTATCCATGTATTATCAATGTATTACATTAACTTTAAAAACAGCCATTATATGCTAACGGTATGTCCAATTGAAGTGCACAAACAGTATTGTAAGGAGAATTTTACTCTCTTTCCTAATACATTTACCTCGTTTTGACCTCTGCCCAGTTAAAGGGAATATACATCATTGGCTTTTGCTGTAATTTTCAGAAATGAACTATTTGAGGGGTTAGTATAATAGATCAAATATTGTTACATGTTTGAAGTTTTGTGTTCGAACATGCTGGAAAAACCAAGAAAAACAAAACTGTTCAAGTAGTCTGGTTCCCTGACTCCACTAAATATAAAATGGATCAATTTACAGATGCCGGAAAATTGTAAAGTAAGGGTACCAGTCTAGCTGGCCTGCACCTGTTTATGAACATGTAACCAATAGCAAACAAAATTTGGACTGAATTAATGGTAAATTTGGAGCAGTAGTTGAAAAATAGTTAAGTTTTTCCAACAGTGGTCAGCCGACCACCGCTGGAAATTTTTTACAAAAATACAATTTTCTTGAAAATGACTTCACACCAGGTGCCATAATTTTACAGGATGCTTTAGACTGTCATTTACCAACATCCTATTAAGGTATTTCGCAAAAACTTGGTAGTTTTATTTTTCGATGTTTGCAAATGTTGTACATGTATATTCCCTTTAAGTCTCATTTTGCCAGAACACCACACATATTTTTGAGCGAGTGCGGATATTTTAAAAGACAATTTTTGGGGGTACAAACGACAGAAATATCACAATGATTGAAACAAATTATTCAGACTTTCTTTCAATCTAAAATTCAAAAACTGCAAAAGATTTCTAACAAATTTACAGCAACATGTAAATTGACGTAACTAACCCTGAATTAACATCTGTTTGTGTCCCAAACATATGGCCTATTAGCATTTTGCCACTTTTATATCTGAGTAAAGCACAATTTAGAAGCCATAAGTCTGTACACACATACATGTGATCAATGATCAAGCCCAAAGTCATGATGCTAACACGGGGTTGTCAAAGTTGCAGGTTGATATCAATTTCTTTCCGCTACCTTATTTGATCAAAAATATGAGAGCAATATGGAAAAAAAAGTATAGATTAAAGTTAGCATTAAAATGAAAGGGATGAGCTCCAATATGGATTTAAAAAAATATTAACCAAACATGTAAATATGCACTACATGTACATGCCACCAAGTACCGTATACACATGAAGAATGGTAAATCATTAAAAAAAAATATTAAAAAAAAAAGTCTGATATCGGCAAATTATTAAATAGTAAACACTAAAAATTATGATGTTGGTGCCTGTCACGTTGATGCAGTGCATGTACACTATACATGTACATTGCTTTAATTAACCTTTAAAGGGAATATATATACAACATTTGCAAACATCGAAAAATAAAACTACCAAGTTTTTACGAAATACCTTGCTAGGATGTTGGTAAATGACAGTCTAAAGCATCCTGTAAAATTATGGCACCTGGTGTGAAGTCATTTTCAAGAAAATGGTATTTTTGTTTACATTTCCAACAGTGGTCGGCCGACCACCGTTGGAAAAACTTAACTATTTAGCAACTACTGCTCAAAATTTACCATTTCTTCAGTCCAAATTTTGTTTGCTTATTGGTTACATGTTCATGAACGGGTACAGGTCAGCTAAACTGGTTCCCTTACACAATTTTCCGGCATCTATAAATGGATCCATTTTATCTTTAGTGGAGTCAGGGAACCAGACTACTTGAACATTTTTGTTTTTCTTGGTTTTTCAAGCATTTTCGAACACAAAACTTCAAACAATGTAACAATATTTTATCTATTATACTAACCCCTCAAATAGTTCATTTCTGAAAATTACAGCAAAAATCAATGATGTACATTCCCTTTAACCCTGCTGAATCCAACAGGATCCAACTATCTCATATACCCGATGGAACCTGTTGGATTGAGCAGTAAACCCCTTGTGTACATTCCTAATGCAAAATGTTGGATTCAGCAGGCAACTGAACTGCATTATAACGCATTGTTGGACTCCGTTGGATTAAACAGACAACTGAAAATAAGGCACAGTGGATTGAACAGGAAAGTCCGGTTGGACTCCGTTGCATTTAGCAGGGTAGTCCTGAGGAACTACTAGGGAGTTAGGGTAAAGACTTTGCACAACATATGGCTTACACATTATACACATGTAACGATGTACAATGTACATGTACCAGCAACTTTTGGGGAAAAAATAGCAAGCGAAGAGCATAAATTACATGTTTATGAATTCAAACATGTACGTACTTGAACACTGCATTCCATACAATGACTGCAAACATTTATTGTAGCAGGCCTTTTTGTAATGTAATTGTTTGTCCCGAAAAGTTCAAACTCGTTATGACACAGGTTAAAACGCACAAACCTGTGATGATAACACCTAGCTGCATTAGATCATTTGACTCCAACAAGAAATGTATGTATTTATACCGGTATATTTGTTACTTAAAATTATTAACGGTAGAGTTGACCATTTGCAGCTATCCAAAAAATAACCGACCAAATTATTGTTAAAAAAGCTTACTTGGTTTAAAGATAGTAATGACACTAAAGTGCATGTTAACTTATTCCTTCTGGCATGCTGTCATTTTGAGGAAAACAATAAAAGAAGGCCACTTCCAAAGATGTGTCACGTGACACATTTTTGGAAATTTCTGTTGGTTTGTGATTGGGCGAATCCATGAATGGGTGCAAGCGTTGACGGGATGCACCGACGCGCACATGTGCTTGGTTGCTATTATTCGGCGTCTGGTACGGTATGTGGCATCACATTGTAGAGCCGAATCGGCTGAATAAGAATCATGTCCCGAATGGGGAGTGATTTCAGTATTGTGTCGCAAGACACAATCCTGAACATGATAAATATCATGTTCTATGTATCACTGGAGATTGTGTTTACCTTTATGTCCCAGCATAACAGCCAAATGCAGTGCAGTATTCCCTGTAAAAGAATAGTCAAAAGGCATTATTTATATAATTTGAATAAAATACACAAGTTTATTTCTCTCAAGTACACAAGTACAACCCTCTCGGGGCTCATACATACATACGCCTCATACATCCGACGCCTCATATGACTTTGAGGCATCATATGAGGCATCGAACTTATGCGGCATAAATTCCGCCTCATAGGTCCGACACCTCATAAGTCCGACAATGGACAAACGCTGTTTCGGACTTAATGTGAGGCGTCTGACCTATGAGGCGTCGGACTTATGAGCGGACCCCAACCCTCTCATGCTGGCAGGCTCTACTCTATTGTATTTTCTAGCACCCAGACCATCAACCGAATGGTTCTCGGACTTTGTTTCCCTTTGAATAAACACTCTCCAAAGCCACAGACAAAAAAAGAGAGAAATGTACTGCTATAAAAAGGAGGATTAAAACCCTAACCCCCTAGGCCCTTGTTGCTTACAACATCCTCAATCCTCCAAAATCCTCCAAAATTGTTCAACTCCGCCTAAATTTTTCAAAATTGTCAGACAGTCCTGCCTCAAAATGCATTCATCCTCAATCCTCCTAAATCCTCCTCATCCCAAAACTTTGCACTCGTGTTTAAATGAAGGATAACCAACGCCAAATCCTTCAAAATCATCAGACAGTCCTGCCTCAAAATGCATTCATCCTCAATCCTCCAAAATCCTCTTGTGCTTCATTCACCATTCATCCTCAATCCTCCAAAATCCTCATGTGCTTCAATCACCATTCATCCTCAATCCTCCAGAATCCTCATTTGATTCAATCACCATTCATCCTCAATCCTCTAGAATCCTCCAAAACCGCCAGGAGGATTTTGGAGGAGTGAGGTGGGTTAGGGTTAACTTTAAAACATTAAAAGTATAGAAAATTATTAAAAGAACAAAAAAGACCTTTAGCATGGTAGGGGTCTAGGTATGTTTAGTTCTGGACTTGAGAAGTTCAAGTTCAATGTTTAACCGATCGAGATGTTGACTGCAATCGGTCGATCAGCGCGATTAGTCGATCGCATTGCATGATGGGCCCATTCTGTAGGATATCGCGGACTTTACTTACAGCCCAGTAGAGTTGTAACAAGTCATTGATTTTTGTGACTCGAGTCGAGTCAAGTCATTTTAAAGAAGTGACTCGAGTCGAGTCAAGTCATGAGGTAAAGAAGGTGTGAAGTCGAGTCGAGTCGAGTCAAGTCGAGTCAAATATTTAGTTTGAGTCAATTCGAGCCATGAATATTTGAACACTATAACAAATAAAGACAAGAGAAAAAGTAATTTGTATCACTATGTATTATGGTCCCACTAACTGGGGCGCTAGTACCAGAGAACTCCTTTTTTGACAATTGGGATGTTGGTCTACATGTATCCCAAATGGCGAAAAAGGAGTTCTAGTGCCTCAGTTAGTGGGACTATGTATGAACAGTTAACTATCTGATTTGGCTTTGGGTCTAGAATTGTTTTCCTTTGATATAACGAATGCCAAGAAGCCTCCAAAATGAGCTGAAAATGACACGAAAGCTGGAGAGTTGAACACGTGTTGTGCATCAATTTTAATTATAGGCCTAGCCTGGGCTATTTGTTAATTTTATGAACAAGGTGTAGGTTTTTTTAAGCATAGGCCTAAACCAACTTAGACCCGTGCACGCAGTCTGAATATGAAAACAAATTTGGTAACAAGTGCTAGTAACAGTAAATAGGCCACATTAAATTATGGGGCTAGGGCCTAGGGCTAGCACTGCCTTAGCCCCATAAATGTGGCCTATTTACTGGACTGCCTCCGTAAACATAGGCCACACATCCACATGTACAAAAATCGTGTCGACTTTGCAAAATTTTGACATTTAGGCTTAGTTTGTAGGGTTTTTTGCTTTTGAAGCATACTCACCCTCTTTATAGGCTAATCAGAAAGTGCTGCCTTTTTCAGATGTATATTTTTCGTGAAATTTCCAGATTCATTTTTACACGTTTGCTTATCAAAATTTCAACATGAAATTTCACAAAAATTAGACATCTGAAAAAGGCAGCACTTTCTGATTAGCCTATAAAGAGGGTGAGTATGCTTCTGAAGCAAAAAAATCCTACAAACTAAGCCTAAATGTGAAAATAAAAATTTGGCAAAGTCGACACGATTTTTGTACATGTGGACAAATGGTGGATGTGTGGCCTATGTTTACGGAGGCAGTCCAGTAAATAGGCCACATTTATGGGACTAGCACTGCCTAAGCCCTAGTCCCACTAACTGGGTCGCTAGAACTCCTTTTTTGTAATTTGGGATGTTGTTTCTGTCGTACTAGCATGACTAGTACGACAGTAACATACCCAGTGTCAAAAAAGGATAGCGACCCAGTTAGTCAACTTAGTGGGACTACCTTACTCCTTAGCCCCATAAATGTGGCCAATTTACTAAATCAGAAAGTGCTCCCTTTTTCAGATGTCTAATTTTCGTGAAATTTCATGTTGAAATTTTGATACGCAAACGTGTGCAAACGAATCTGGAAATTTCACAAAAAATAGACATCTGTAAAAGGCAGCACTTTCTGATTAGTAGGGTGAGAATGCTTAATTTATAGCTGGAGTTACCCAGCCCTGAGTTTTATCATTGGGTTGTCATCTAGGGCTGGAGCATATTTTTCTCGTAACTTGTAGTATATTCAAAAATTTTTGGGAAAATGTTCAATTTTGTCCCCGTTACACACTAATTGCAACTGCAACTCACCCCAAACTTGCCTGGAATAACCATTACACAGGTCCTTGAAGTAAAAAACGATCCACGATGAAGATTCAGCCTACAATTGCAGTGAAAACAGGAGGAATAACCGCTAACTTGACAACCTTGCTGGATTGGCCAGGACCGCTATTGGTTTGTGCACAAAAAAAATTGTGTACAATGAATGGCGGTCGATTAACAGGCACAGAGAGCGATCGCTGTCAACTACTCGTTTTGCCGGCTGCGCTGGCTGTTGGCGCATGACGTCACGTGGAAGCGTAACACCCGATGACTGTTTCATGCACTATTGGTTGCGGTTCCAGTACCAAAGCTGTGATGCGAGTGGTAAACCTTATACTAGTGCATGAAACAGTCATCGGGTGTTACGCTTCCGCGTGACGTCATGCGCCAACAGCCAGCGCAGCCGGCAAAAACGAGTAGTTGACAGCGATCGCTCTCTGTGCCTGTTAATCGACCGCCATTCATTGTACACAATTTTTTTGTGCACAAACCAATAGCGGTCCTGGCCAATCCAGCAAGGTTGTCAAGTTAGCGGTTATTCCTCCTGTTTTCACTGCAATTGTAGGCTGAATCTTCATCGTGGATCGTTTTTTACTTCAAGGACCTGTGTAATGGTTATTCCAGGCAAGTTTGGGGTGAGTTGCAGTTGCAATTAGTGTGTAACGGGGACAAAATTGAACATTTTCCAAAAAACAAAAAAATTTTGAATATACTACAAGTTACGAGAAAAATACGCTCCAGCCCTAGATGACAACCCAATGATAAAACTCAGGGCCAGGGCTGGGTAACTCCAGCTACTTAATTTAAGCAAAAATAAACTACAAACTAAGCCTAAATGTGAAAATCGAAATTTGACAAAGTTCGACATGTTTTTGTACATGGTGGAAATGTGGCCTTTATTTACGGAGGTAGGCCAGTAAATTGGCCACATTTATGGGGCTAGCAGTAGCAGTACTAGCACTGCCTACGAAAGTACGAACACACGACGAATAGCGTAACGTGTCAACAACTTGAACGCCATACCGTGGATATCTTTTTCGGCGACATCGTGTGTCCGTAGAAGGGCAGAGAGTTTTCTGATGTCGTTGTTGAACACACTCTCGTGTAGCGGATAATCAGACAACATTTCTTTCAGCGTTAACGAAGCCATTTCTGACAATGTGAGATGTCATTCTTGAAGTTGAAGTTGGAATGTAATTGTGCTGACTACTGACTGCGAACCGCCCATTGTTGCACTCACAGTATTGCTGTCGAATGAGGGCGCTACTCCAAATATGCATTCCGCAAATTCCGCGCCACATGCTGGATCTCTAGGGCCGTGTAATATGCAATGTTTTTATCCATAAAGTGCGTTCTTGTGTCCCATTTGACTTTGTTTTCAAAATTGTGTATTTCTTAGATTGCGCCATGAATAATGGTAATCATAATTATCAACGTTAATTGATAGTTTGAACTAATTTTTGTTTCGCTATTATGGTCACATTATGCAAATCAATTTCAACAAGTAGACTCTTTTGTTTCGTTTTCCCGGCTATGCATAGTTTATTATTCGGATTAACTGTTTCTAATATTGTTGATGTACCCTAAAGTGGCGCGGCCCCTAACGTGGCGCACTTTGATTTTTCGCCTGTAGCGCCTAGCTAGAGCAAAAGTTTTAACTGAAATTTCACAGAAAGCGAAATTTCATCAAGTTCTAAACACTCCCGTTCATAAATTGCGAGTTTATTTACCCGCTACAAAGTTAAAAGAAAACTTTATTTTGGCGTGATTTTCCGATTTTATTATCAAGTGCAAAGTGAAACCTTTGAAAATGCCCCCAAAAATAAGAAAATAGTTTTCTGACAAACATCTGCCTGGGTATGTAAGTAGAAATAATAATGATTTATCAGAATTGATCAAGTTTACAGAAATTCTTAAATGTTAATTTGGAATTTTCCGAGATTTATTTAAGTGCGCCACGTTAGGGAACACTCCGCCAATTTGTGCCCAATTTCCGGACGCCACCGTTTTTTTAATTTCGGCTTAAATTTTATGAAACCGAAATAGTTCACGGAGGTTAAATAGCAAGCATTAATAAGGTAAAAGTACCAGTATTTTACTGCATGAATTTGAGGTTTGTCAACAAAGAGGTTTGGCAACACTACACGAGGAAATTTGGGTAAGCTTCGAAGTGCGCCACGTTAGGGAACACGACTATATTCAAATTCGTCCATTAATATCGATGAAGTGCTCTTAATTTGTTTAATTTCGTCTCAAGTTTGGCCGACAATTCATTCAGTTCAAGCAAATTCAAACAATGACTGGAGCACACGACCGGGGAATTCCATTTCGCACGACTCGTCTATGATGCCAAACCTTGTTATCATCTGAAATCAAATTCGGCGATAATTGATTGATATAAGACGAATTCGATCTGTGAATGCTGCCATTCGGCAACAATTTGGACGATTCGATCCGTATATTAACCCGGTGACTAGGCCGCTTTTCCGCAACATCTCAAATTCGAGCCTCTATTAAAATATGTTCGCCGTTTCCAAACAGTATTTTTATTTTAATTTATTTGGTGGGAAATAAAGCTTGTGAAATAATATTGACAAGGCAAACAAAAATAGTGCGTTCTCATCCCAAATTCTAGAAAATGTACAGGTGAAGGAAACGTAAAAGACCAGAAATAACTGGGTATAGGAAACTAAAAATGATGATCACTGAACACGTCATCTTTTCATTTTCTTTTCATTTTTTGGGTGGGTTTGACCAGTGACTTTTCGAGATATACTCACCCAAAGAAGACGACCGCTATTTTTGCCCAAAGCCAAAAAGTATAGCCATCTTAAAAACCGATCCCTCCGCAACATGACAAAATAGCGCCACTTTCGAGCCCCATGGCTCTCAGAAATCTCTATTAGAACATCATATTTTGAGGGCCGGTTTAATTTTTATTCATGAGCTCGGCGGATGTTTTTTGGCCTATTTGCCGGTGTGCACCCACAGACGGCAAATAGGTTGCAGACCCCAATGATAATACCCCCACTTCAGAAAGTCCGAGATAAAATTACTCACAACTCGGCAAGGTTTTGGAGACACACATAAAATTGAAGCTTATAACATCATCTTTCATTTTCTTTTTCAATTTTGCTTCTGGTAATCTGATGACTTTTAGGAAAAATTTTGTCATCATGGTTTGAAAAACGGTGCCTACACTCCATTGGGAAATAGAATTAGGGCACCAATTTCTTTCAAATTTCACTGAAACACAAGCTCACAGTCCTGTACACGGCTTCCACCCATGTTTTTTTTTAACAAACCCTCAAGTTCGTGGCCCACAATATGCTCACATGAAGAATTTTAGGGCATGCAGATCGTGATTTGGCCGGCGTATAGGCAATTTTAGACCGATTTACTGGCCTGCAACCTCAGAATGCACACACCGGTAAATAATCCATCTGCTGAGCTCATGAGTAAAAGTTATACCATACGGCCCTCAAAATAGTCTAGGCCTATTAGGCCAAAAAAGTCTCCGGTTTCTGGTATGGAGCTTGCCAAAAAGTGGTGCGGCGACGCGGCTTTTTTTTTTTTACCTGATTTTTTGGCTTCAAATGTCGGCTGATGACTGCAAATGGTGCCCGACTAAACTTAGTGCAACTATATGGGAGTCCAGAGAGGCCACATATAGCTTATTCTCGACCATATTCCAATCTAAAAACACGTTGAAATTGTGCAGCAGCAGGATTCCAGTCAAACCAGTGAGTTTGGCGGTTTTGAGAAATCATCTTTTTTATTTCATTGAAAAAAAAAACTTTTTCATTTTGCCGACGCGCATGGCTGCGGCGACGCGCGCGCATACCAGAAACCGGAGACTTTTTTTTTGTTGGCCTTAGAGAGTTCCGAGAGGCCTTGAAGAGATGGCAATGTAACCTCTGGCCCGGAATAGGGGCTTCCAATTCTGAGCATTTTTATGCAATTGGGCTCGAAAGTGGTGCTATTTTTGCCATGTTGTGGAGGGATCGTTTTTCAAGATGACTACTTTTCCGCTTTGGGGAAATAGGGGTCGTCTTCTTTGGGTGAGAATCTCGAAAAGTCAATTGGTCAAACCACCAAGAAAATGAAAAGAAAATGAAAGATGACATGTTGATTATCACTTTTCTGTGCAGCAAACAGTTCAGGGAAGTCAAAAATAGTCGTCTAGAATTTTCTTCGTTTTAATAACCAAAACAAATACTTTAAAAAGACACTTCCTTGGCAAGCAGGAAAATTCAGATTTTTTTGTGGGGCACTGGGAATTTGTGGGGGCCACTCCCCCCCCCCCCCGCCACTGCTCCATAACCATTCAGTGTTATGGAAATTGGGTCTAGGAACTAGATATGAGATTTCAGAAGTTCCTCGATGTCCGCCAACCCATAAACATTTTAACCTACATTAGGCCAAAAAAAAAAAGTCTCCGGTTTCTGGTATGCGCGCGCGTCGCCGTAGCCATGCGCGTCGGCAAAATGAAAAAGTTTTTTTTTATGAAAGATGATGTCTCAAAACCGCCAAACTCACTGGTTTGACCGGAATCCTGCTGCTGCACAATTTTAACGTGTTTTTAAATGGGGTTATGATCGAGAATAAGCTTTATGTGGCCTCTCTGGACTCCCATATATTTGCACTATAAGTTTAGTCGGGCACCATTTGCAGTCATCAGCGACATTTGAAGCAAAAAAGTCAGGTAAAAAAAAAAAAAAAAGGCCGCGTCGCCGCACCACTTTTTGGACAAGCTCCATACCAGAAACCGGAGACTTTTTTTGGCCTTATGTACTGAGGCCTTATACTTGTACACACCAAATGAAAAATAAACACACATCTATTAGGCAAACTGTATTTCTTCTGCAAAGTTTGCAGTTTTATTTTACCCAAGATATACACACTATCCATATACATACTAATTATCATCATTACAATTGGTGGATTTGTTTAAACTTAGTAGCAATTCTCCGTGATGACATTCACAAAGTACACTGTTTTCAAGTGAAATGCTCATGGGCATTTTACAGCAAAAGTATATACTACATTGCACACAGTATGCTGGCTTATACAGCTCCCATTGGTGGTTATGCATACAAAGCATGATGAACAATTTATGCATTTACCATTTGAAGGTCAAGTCTGTGAGTACATGTATACGACGATAAAGCAAACGCTCTTTCTGAGTTTTCGTGGTGCTCAGAAGATCTGGTGATGTTTTTTTTGGGTTTTTTTTTGGACAGCACACTTTGCCAGTCACCAAGAGACCTTTGCTTTCAATTTGGTGTTGCTACACCCCAACCATAGCACCATTCCAACTATGAACTCCGTGTGCCAACAAAAAAAGGGTGCATTTTCGCAACTTTTGAGAGCCCCGTGGACAGGACTCGTGCGTACTGTACTGGTTCGCGCACGAAGTACCCACGCCTTTCTGAATGTGCCAAAGCTAATAGCCACAGCGTCTTTGCGCGAGTGTTAGGCCTCGGCGTCACGTCTGCGCGCGAATACGTTCAAATTGGTCTCCCAGACTAATCCCCGCCCCAAATATCTCTGGATCATTCGAAATACACAGTGGATGGACTGAGAACCAGTCTATGTCTCCCCCAACTCTCTTTTTCTGGCCGTTGAAGGAGTACTTGTGCACAGAGCCCATAGCTAGCTGGGATAGTCCAGACTATTGTTGGGGATGTCTCAACCGTAGTTGGGACTGCCCCAACTATAGTTAGGACAGCTGCTGTAGTTGGACTAAAATAGTGTTGCATATGGAACCTTTGTTATTGAAGTAAGCAACCTTTGTTATTGAAGTAAGCAGCTTTTGCCAAAGTGCGTCAATGCATGTGTTGCTAAAAGACATGATTTGGGGAGAGGATGTCATCATTTAGGAAACACTCAATAAAATCACATCCTATGCAGTTCCCCCTTATCCATTTTGAATACAAATTTCATGCAGGGGTTTCACAATGAAACAAAAACACACGAAAATGTCCATGAATGGGGAAGACCGCACCTTCAAGTATACACTGGTCGCTTCACAAATTCCACTGGAAATATTTAGAGAAAAGAAAGTGGCCAAATTTCACTTTTTTTGAGTTGTAGCAATACATTTTTTTTTAAAACATGTAACAGTAGCCAAGGGCAGATCCAGGGGAACCCAATTTTTTTTCCCTAAAAAATAAAAATTGGTTAAAGAGGTCAGAAATTGCCTCAGATCACACCACAGAGCATCTAGAATCCAAC